TACAAAGATTTGCCTGACACTAAAAACACAGCCACAATACGGAGAGCTGACATGTGCCCATCTCTTCTGTTCTGCCCTGGGAGAATCTAAATGCTAAACGTATGTGCATATTTTTTCATAGCAACAGACATATTAGAATTTCCTCAACCAACCCCCATCTCCATCCACTATCTCCCACACCGAGGACATGAAAGGGGCTGCAGCGCATAATGCTCCAAGAATTAAGGGATTCCTTGGTGTCTCTGAGTAACACAAGCTATCGTTATGACAATATAAGTCTTAAGCGATTTACCCACCCATGTCTCCTATTCATGTCTTTGCCTGAATATCACATTTTATATTAAATATTAATCTTAAGGTAATGTAATCATTTGTTTGTAATTGAAAAAAACTGTCTTTAGGACAGCAAAAGATCAAATTGTCTTCTATGGTCAAATAGCTGTCCTTGCATTTGTGCAATAACAATAATATTAGCAAAAATTTAATTATGTGTGTGTGTGCTTTTTTATTTTCATCTTAATTTCATTACTTACCAAACTTTAATTATGTCTGTGTTTGAAAATTAATTTTGGCACAACTCTAACAACATCTTGCAGATGTAGCTATTTCCTTTTTAGATGTGAAATTGGTGCCAACAGTAGACATATGCTGATATGTGACCTATTAGCTGGATTACTTATAGTAAGTAAATATTTATAATTACGACTATATGTGCATATGTCACTGTATATTTCACTCTTTTATTGTATAATAATAATAATTAGACTTTTACCCTAGAAAGGAGATGGGTGTGTTGCATGTGTTTTTATTAATGCTATTAATCTATCCAAAGAAAAAGAGTTGAAGAGACTAAATCCAATACAAAAGTGGACACAAGAACAAGCGTCTCCATTGTCCCATGTGAGATTACAGGAGGTGATCTCACTCGTCTCTTTTATCTTCTCTCAGTGATGGCTATTGATCCAGGTCAAAGAGAGTAGCACTAATTGATTGAGAAACTCAAGCATAGTCAAAAGGGATGGATTCCCAATGTAGCCACAAAATGGTATTGTATGTTAAAATACAATACAGGCCACTTACAGATGCAGCAGCACTGTCAAACATTATAGACAGATGATCTCTCACAAGAGTCCAGTAGGTCACACACACAGTTGTTGTATTTATTTGGTTTGTGTGTGTGTATGTGAAAATTGCTCTTACCTGCTTTGTTTAAATTTATACAATTATACATATTATATATGTATTGTAACCGTTCTTGCTATGCCTAAAGGCCATTTGCAGCTATGTACCACTAGAGGGAGACATTTGTCTGCTAATATGATATAATGCGAAATCAGTATTATGCTGTAGCTTATGCACCTAAAATGAAAGAACACAAGGGGCTGACATTTCATCATAGTAACCAATTAATTGAATATAATTAAGAAAATTCATTAATTAAATAATAAATCACCATAATTAGAATGCATAAAATAACTTAAAACACCCTATACTGTATTTTTTTATGAGAATACAAGTTTAATATGTTTAGGAATGTGTTGGACCAATTGATCAGGAACTACATTGCCTCCATGCTACCACATCTGAATATAATTTCTTCCAATATTATTAGAATGGTATATTAATATTATATATAGCTATTAAATTGCTACATTTTTCAGTTGGCGTGAATTTTTCAACATTTTCATTCCATGTTCATTTTCACCTGAACTGTCAGCCACAAGTTGAATGTGGCGGACTTAGGTTGTACTGTAAGGATTCTAGTGTGTCAGTTCAGGGTCATGTTTAGTGTTAGTTTTGGCATTGTTCCCTCGGAGGGGGAGAGTGAACTTGTGTCAAAATGTCACACTCAGCCACTTGTCTTGATCAAAGTTGGCACCGGCCCCACACAGGTCGCTCTTTCACCCACACGCTGTCAGAAATATGCAGGCCCTAGTGTCTATGTATTGTATGCTGCTTGTATGCTGCAGGTCCATGCATGAACATACTTGTATATTCACACATATAAGACAAGCTTCACCAAATATGACAGGCAGTGCGGAGACTGTACAGGCCACACACGTCTGAATGAATGAAAACTTACTGATACATAGAAAAGGAAAGAGAGTTGGTTAACTTGTGTTCAGGGAAAACATATGCCCTGTTATGTCATGTTAATTAATGTATGATTTTGAGTTTTACATCAGATGTCCTTAATATTACAGACCTTTTATTCATGAAATTACTTGGCACTGTAACTCAATGTAATATAAATCATAAAACACATGTACAGTCATATAGCACTTTTCTATTGCTTTTCTAGAGTTTTCACACCAGTGTACTTAGGTAATATAGAGATAATGTCGATTAAGACAATGGCGGCATGCACAGGTGGCAGCTGGGTTTCAACCTTTGACTTTTAGTTTGGTAAATGGACGCTTTACCTTCTGAGTTACTGTTGTTTATGGTGTACATCTTACATTATCATAAACACATTTACATCTCAATCGATGTGGTATTCAAGTAATGGTAATAATGGAGTGGAAGTGGAAAAACAGCTTTCCCTGTCTTGTTGTTTATATAATTTGTTAATTGACAGAGTGAGTTCCTGGTGACCCTGCTGTGATTGTCTAACCCCAGCACGCCCTGCAAGCTTCATAAACACTTCCAAGAACAATGCATAGCTGTCAAGTCTCCTAATCATTATTTTGAATATAAATGGCCAGAGTTATAATGTAAAAAACATCACTGACACACCGCAAAAGTAACAGAATAACACAGTAGTGACATAATTATTGATATATTTCTATAAACCAATATAATCCAAAATAAAAGTAATATTTTCTCAGCAGCATTTGTGTACTTGAGTATTTTAGTTATCTTATTGTTTTTGTTGGGTATATATGTATGGGATGGTAACATAATATGGACAGCTCAGTGTGTGGACGGCTGACCTGAGATGGATGCACAGCTCCAGTGTTGGCTTATATTTTAGTGCAGCTTTATGTGCCTCTTCAGGAAGCCTCTTGTGGATCTATAGGACTCTTTGTATGAGCCACCACGGCCAGCTGTTCGCAAGTTTTATAGCCGAAATGGAAGACATCTTTCCCTGCAATTTTCACCTCCTGGGCCAAGCATGTGTCAGTTATGGAGAGCCGTGCTGGGGTTTCCCCACTGAGCTCAAAGAGTGTGTGGGTTTCATCACTCTCCTCATGTGATATTAGATACTTTTCACACAAAATCACACCCGGCACTAAATTATTACTTTACTGTGTTTTTGTTTCTGTTGTTTTTTGTTAGTAGGTGAATGGTATGATTGGATCACACATGATGGCAATACTTGACTACCCCTGGTGGCATCAACAGGCATATAATGTGTGACAGGTGTTAGCAAAAATCATCAGCTTCAGTACTCAAGTGAATTCTTTCCATATATTTAAGGTACAGTTTATTGTCCCCATAATGAAATATGTTCTCTGCATTTGACCCATCCTTCAGTAGTGCTGGGGCACCTCCTTGGAAGCTTTGAGCACCGCAGGAGAGAAACATGCAAAATGCTCAGGTAACCTGAGGAACAGACCCAGAACCTTCTTGCTGTGAAGCTTAAGTGCTCGCCACTCTGCCATCTTAAAGGCTGGTAACAAAAAAAAATCTCAGTCAGATGTTTATTTTAGAATGCAAAAGTGTAGTAGGCTTTTGTGTTTCCAATAATATATTCCACCTTCCATTGACTGGAAACTGGAAAAAGTTTTTATTTAAATATTATTATTTACATTTATTTAAGATGGTGGGTCATTTAATTTTTCAGCTGATTAAAATGCATCCTCAGATTAACAATTTTTTTTTGTTGTTGTTTTTTTTTCTAATTGTTGCATGGCCATTTGATCAATAGTGGAATCAGTGTCCCTGTGGTAAGTGCTTCCACAAAGCTTTTGTTTTTGTAGGGTTTTGTGCAATTTATCAAATTACATCTTTTGACAGCACATAATTGTTTCAAATAATCCTGATTTCAATGATGTCTCAGATAATTATGATCCTGTTCATAGAAGAGCCCCCTCCTGTTTCCACATGGTCATTTTCAGGTTCACCGACACTGCTTTTACAAACAAATCTCAGGACCTTTGAACTTGACAAGAAAAATAAAGCTTTGATTGTGCCACTGAGAGCCACATATTGTGTCCCTGATGAGGACACATGCTGACAGAGCAAGTGACCTGTAATGATGGCTTGTTGTTGTCCTCCGATCAAATCAAGAGGACTTTCTCACAAAAAAATCAAACGGGCATAGTGACTTTTTTAATGACTGATGTCAGCATAGAATAAAGGATTTTTTATTCAGTGTAGCTCAGCTGGTAGAGTGTTTGTTAATTGTTCACAGGTTTGAATCTCTCTCTCAGCATAAACATTGTTAGAGCGGTCAGATCCACAGGTTAGCAGTGCGATTCCAGCTTCCACAGATCAATGCTGTTGTTGAGTTCTTGGACAAAACACTTAACCCATCTCATCCTCAATGACTGCGTACACTGGTGTATGAACGTGTGTGAATGTGTGAGTGGTCTCTTGATATAAAGAGCTTTGAGTGGCTAGAAGGTGGAAAAGTGCTATGTTTAAATGTGAATATTTACTATTTAAATGGGCTGTAAGACTTTGATCAGAACAACAATAATAATAATAAAAACGAAATAAGCGAACCCATGAAAGTACTACACAAAATTAACCTTTTCCTCTTGGTCAAAAATCTCAACAGACTCACTTCTCTCACAACAATAATAGCCATCAAAGGAGCGGTGCTTTCAGTTGTATAGAGAAATGCCCTCCTGGTCCTGAGCAGCTCGTGTGTTTGTGATCCTGGGTGGTCTGTCAAATTTTGTTTCAGACTGAACAATGTATGGCGACAGTGGGATTTTAATGTAAACCTCTTCTATAAGTGAGTTAAGTCCAGGTTGTCTACTCTTTTGTGTAACAAAACAATGAGAATGTTGAACCAAAAGTTAATTCAGTGACTTTTTACCACAGGGGCCATGGAGGTGGGAAACACGCTGGACAATGGCCACTTATTTGCAGGGCTGACGCAGACTTACATTGCCAGACTCTTACAGGACATTACCATCTACCATTTGATTACAGGACATTACCATTTATCACCTGGCACCCACAACCCCTTGGTGAGAGGGTGAGGAGAAAAAGGAAAGTGGTAGGTTGAATAAGGTTTTCTGCACCATAGAAAATCCAATGAGATCCTCAAAACGATAAGTTCTAAACACCAAATGAGTAGTTTTAATAGACTTATAGACTTAGATAGTCTGTTTTGTAAAGTAATTATTTTTCTATTAGTCGACAAGAAAATTTCTTTGACATGGGGAAAAATGCAAACCCATTTTAACCAAATGAAAATATACTGAATGAATGCATCCATTAAAGTGTTTACAAATGCAACTAATTCATTATCAAGATAATTTTGGTTTTTATTTCATAATGCCAAGGTATTTATCATTATTAGAGTCTATGAAGTCCAAATAAAAAATAAAGATAATTTAAAATGGTCAACGATTAGTTGAGTCTATAAGTTGCAGCTCTATTTTTCAATGATCAAAAATAGCAGCTAAAACTTTCCATTCCAGTTTCCAGTCTTTTATTAAAAAATCCCTGCTTACACAATACAGAGGTGAGGAACTTCAGCAGGCTCTCACACCTGCAGACTGTCATGAGACTGGCCACTTTGTTTTCAAGGTTCAGCCCTTTAAAGATGCTCTTTCTGCCTCACTGATCAAATACAGCCAACTACCAACAATAATTAGCACAATTTCCATGGCTTCTCTTTTCATCTGCAGCTGTAGGTTTATTGTGAACCCTTTTCAAAGGTAAAGCAGGAATGTAGGTCAAGAATGCTTAAAAAGTTTTCAAGAAGATTTTACACTTTGAGGTTGTGAACATCTCATATTCTGGTTCTTTTATCTCTCTAGATCTTTAATAGTGGACTGAACAAGTTGGGAATAATATCAAATTTCAGAAAATGAACAGATTGACTGAAATATGAACAGTTAAACTAATATAAAAATCACATTTCAGAACATTTGCTAATGGCATCCATTCAATTTGCGATATCGAATTGATTGTGATTAATCTTGCAGCCCTAGTGCAAGAGCGTGAACAAACACTCAACTCAAACTCACACAGAAAAACCTTCTCTAGAATACTACTGTTACTCAAATAGAGAGATCAATTCACAGAACATAACTAACTCACGAATCACAAAAAAATGCATTTAGTTTTAAAAACCATGCTGTGTGTGGTAATAGTGGCTAATTAAACAAGGTCCTGAGTCCTGACATGAACTTGAAGTCCTCACATGACCAGGACCGGACTCCCCACTCTGCTACACTTGACTCAGGCTCATTCATGAAGTGCACTTTTATGTGAGGTTATTATGACCAGATCAATGCTTTTCTATGAGGACTGGGGTCATGGAGTTGAATCCAAAGGGGAACAAGTTTCGAATGACTTGCTGGAAAGAATTTTAAACTGGTGGCATTGCACTTGAGTGGTGCTCCTATTGACCTGATACATGAGTTAAACACATAAAAATAATAATAAATCATAATATAGTTACTGCACAGCTGCTGATCCTCAATTCTCAATTTCTATTTGTTCTCTTTTTGGTCAGTCATCTATAGAAGATGCAAAATGTACATTAATCAACAGTAATATGCAGAAAAAGCTTAAGCTACTGCCCCAGTTCTACACTGCCACATCATCTACGTACTGTACATCTTCATTTTACAATTTCCAGAGGATTGATAAATGGGCTTGAGTCCAGCGCCGTAAGGTGGACTTGTGCACCATCTGCAAAAGTTTAGGAGAAACAGTTTAGACTGATAAATTCAATGTGTGCCGGTACACAGGAAGGTTCAAATCAATAAAAATGGAGGCATCAGTATTCTTCGACAGTGCAGCAGCAGTCCTGCGAAAACCCAGACTATACCTTCAATCATCAAACAAGTTGGCAATGTCCACCACCCCATGCTCAGCTCTCACCTCCACCTTCCTATCCGACCTCCCTTTGGTCTCGCTCCCTGTCAGCTCCCATCAGCCTCCCGTCTGTGATGCTCTCCAAGGAATTTTACAGCTGCTGTGGGCTTCATACACACAGGCAGTGGTAGCTCGCATGTGCACTAACTAAAACCTGCACTGAAAGACACGCTTGCACATAAATCCCCTAGCAAGATCAGGGCTAGGATCAGGCTAGCCAATAACCACACACACATAGCTTTGTTGACAGACAGCTAATTAAATAATGCTGTGATGGGGAAACTACCTGGAGTGAAGGAAGCAACTGCAAAACGTAACACCAATGTTGTGTTACTTAGTTCTTCTATTGGGGGATTTCTTCATGAACTTTGAAAAGGTCTGCAAGCAATTTTTGTTCAAGTTGGTAAAGGTGCAGTTTAATTATTGTACTATTGTGCGGGTGTTTCATTGCAACCAGCAGATTGTTATTACTGCTAGGTGGTCCCTGTTTCATAAATAAGATGCAGATCCCAACAAAACTCAAGAATAAATAACACAAACAATGTTTACATGTTAAAATTATCAACACTTTAGGGTACATGTACCAAGCCCAGATCATTTGGGAACATAGTATACCTCATAAAGACAACTTATTATTGACATTACTCCACTCTTATTGCCTGAGGTCCAGAATAGACACAATACTTTACGAAGATGTGAGTCTGGTCATCGGTGAATCTCCCTGAGTTCAGACGGACATGATTGACAGGTGGATTAATTAATCAGCGAAATGCATAATTTCTTATCAAAACAAATATGGCTGAAAAAAGAAAGAAAAAACAAACATCACAGGGACCTGAAAAGCGCTTCAGATTTGATGAAGATGAGATAAATAAGCTTGTGTTTTTCAGTTAGAGGTATCCAATGAGTTTCTTCATATCACATACTTTTGAAAAAAATAAAAAATATATTAAAATTAAACCGAGATAGACACCAGAGACAAATAGACAGAGAGCCATACAGCAGCTGACAGACAGGCAGACTTAGAGGCATACAGGAGCGCAGATGTCAGAGGTCAAATCACTCACGGCAGTTTGCTCGCTTTGGACAACAGGGGGCATTCTTGGTGTTTTGATGTCTAACAGCAATCTGTCTGTTTTTAAAAATGAGCCCTCCAACATATTGATGACAGTAATGCTGTCCCTATTTCAGTTGTGAATTTACCTAGTAACCTTGACATTTTTATTTGCATAGTATACTAAAGAGGAGAGAACTTTTACTTTAATCTCCACCTTTCAATACTAAAAAAGGTATCGACAAGGTATATCATCAACATCAGATGTTCATTTTAGGTTTAGAATAGCAAAAAGGAGTGTAGCGCTAAAAAAAAAAAAAAAAAACAGAATCTGATCTAGATGCTGATATTAAGTTTGAATCTGTGTCAATAAGAGTGCGTTCGCACACAGTTTAGTTCTGCCCTAGTCCTGGTTTAGTTCCGTATTTAGATCCAGTTTAGTTCCATGTGGTAAGTGTCCAAGTATGAAAGCACAGTAACTTGGACACCTGCTGGCGCTATAAAGTTTGTTGAGCCGCTGAACATATGGGAGGAATTGTCTCTATTATGCCATTTTTATCACTGATTAAATCCAGGATTAGAAAGCAGAAATCTGGAAGTGGGTTTATACATGTTTTCACTTTTTATAGGAATGGGGTACATTGTTCTCATGCAGACAATGCCCTGACTTTTGGGGGCATTTGCATTTGAAGCTTGAATGGTCAGAAAATTCTGTTCATGCATCCCTGCCACAGCACTTAGGGTTCTTAGCATTTTAGTAATTTAAAACTATCATCATTAAAATGATATAAACTGATGTGGTGATCTGTTAGTTAGTCTCTTCATGAGTGTTCGATGCAAGTACAGTGGGCTAACGTAAAGCAGACCGTGTTAAAACAGATCACCTGGAACACCTTGCTCTCCTCTGGGTTCAAAGGAGCTTCACTAATTAAAGAATGTGAGACATGACCTGTTTTTTGCTTCTCTGTCTTCCTCATCTCTCTTCACCTTTTGGTGTTTACATTGTCATTCTGCTGTTTATAAAATAAAAGCCCAATCCAGCCCATATGTGTCCGTAGACATGGTCAGTGTGTAAATCATGAAGACTTAAAATGTGCTGAATTAAAGCAACACTGTTTCTCCTACCACATACCGCTGCTATAGTTACTTTGGTAATAACAATTGTGAGAAGTCAAAATTCAGTTGCAATTACACTTCCCATCACCTATGTGGCTTTAGTGCAACAAAACATGTATTGATACTGGTTTATTTGTTAATACTGCTGTAGGCCTATTGATTTATTGCCATGAGTAAAGTTTAAATGTTGTTGTTGTTGTTGTTGTTTTTTTTGTTGTTGTTTTTTTATTACATTGCTTATTTGTGAAAAAATATTTTCACAATATAATGCTAATGTAAAAATGTATTATTTTGTTCCTTTAAAAATGTGATCTATTGCAGGTTATCATGTGCACTACATCAAGTATTGTGACAATGTTATCATGAATTATTGTATTGCCTATGAGTGAAGTGGGCCCACCCTGTGAATCCCAGCCTTATCCAATACTTCCCATTTGACCAACTTTTTCTTGGTGAATTCCTCTGAATATTCAATAACAAGGTTTTTTTATTTTTGTTTGGGTGGAGGGGACAAATGCTTCATGCTAAAAATCAAATAGACACGATCCCCCTTGGCTCCCACTCTCGTTCAGCACTTCCATGAGTGATTGTTGGGGAGTTAAGAAATGTTGGCACGATTCCTATCAGTGCAGCTGCAGCATTCAGGGGAGCACAGGGAGAGCAGCAGCATAGGGGTCACAGGGCAAATTTCACTCTGAAATTGATCACAAATTTGTGATTCTTGCTCCGGCGTATCATTTTTAAATCAACATTTTGGCTACTGGAAGTTGTTGTTTTGGTCTGTAAAAACAATTTACTTCAAACTATTGTTGCACTTTAGTTAAGTTAAGCACTAAATTGTTTGCTTATTTGGGTCTGTTTGTGGCCTGGGGATGGTACAAAAGTGAACTAACTTGTGACCACTTGTGGAAGATGTGGCCACTGCTGCTGCCACCTATTTCAGATTTTATACAAAACAAAACGCATGATAAAAGGAGTTTTCAAGATTCTATGCAACTTGAGAGACTGCGCACCTAAGCCACAGGTGTCAAATGCGATTGGCTCCTGGCTGTAGGCTATTCACCAGCCCATGCGCCCCTCACCAAACACGCATTCACTGTCCTCCCCCCTTCAAGCAACAGGCTCTTCTGCAGACTGGCCCCGGCGCGACTTTCATACGGATTTGCTTTTACCGCAGGGACAAAACAGCCTAGTTAAGACAATCACATGATTTCGCTGGGAGTCTGATCGGTTCGCGGGGGTTACTGGGTAGAGAGGGAGAGAGGTGCAAAGCCAAAGTGTGCACGTTGATACAGTGAAAGAGGGAGAGAGAGAGAGAGAAGCTGTCACGATCTGATCCACTGGGAATTAAACAAAATGTCTTGGCGCTGGAGAGAACTGCAGCTGGAGCGATTACCGGTGTCCTGCGCTTCTGAATGAATGGACGTGCAACTGAGAAATTATTGATGCATCATTCCCAATCACAACCAAAAGACTGGACTGCTTTGTTGACGCTTGGAGACGCATTGGAAAACGTGATATACAGAAATGGCCCGGTTACGGATATTTTTCCATCTTTTTCTTTTTCTAAGCTTGTGTGCACTCGGACAAGTAAGTCACTTATCTCCTCTCCCCCTTGCTCCTGCACGCACATGCACAAAGTTCACTAAGTTGTCAACACTTGCCACGACTGCTGCGTCTTAGGATCATTTTCCAATTTGTTGTCGGCTACGCACAAAAACTAAGTCCAGTGTACTTTTCCTTTGCTTACAGAACTCACGTTTGAGTAAAGGTGATGACAGTGCAGAGCAGCACCGAGACACATTGACGCTCCTGCAGTCTCTCAATTTGCCTCAGCATACAGGTACGTGAGTGACAGTGCGTAATGGCAGATATGATGAGGTTGTAATATGGTATTCAATGCGCCAGTGTTAAAAAGACAGACAGCTTATGACCTGGCTGCAGCATCTATCTTTGCTCACCTGAATGTGTATTACCTATCTTCACCGATAGGAGGCAACCTAGTCCCTGAAACTGTAGTATCTGGTGCACATTTAGCTTTCTTACTAATGGCACTTGGGTCTGCAATTTCAGTGCGTTTATTTTTTTCTCAATTAACTTCTAACAAAACAATTGGCATTTAAAAAGCAATTTGTCTCTTGATAACAAAAAAAAAAAAATACAATTCCCATCTATTATGTTGCTATGTTGTTACTACAAGCATTATAGCATCTTGCGCACTGCTGATTCAGCATATGTCTTGGCTGGAATCCCTGCAGACCCTTTTTAAGTAAGGATGGAAAACAGATAGATAAACAAATAGCCTAAACAAAAAGCAGAGACGATTTCTTTGTGCACATGGAGATGAAGAGAAACACAAGGATTTCCCCCAGATGTTTTCCATCAGATCACAATAAGAGTTTAATCACTGCTGCAGTGTGTCAATGTCTTCATATGGCTTTGGTAAAGTGGGTTAAGGGGGAGTTCATGTGGAATCTGTTGTTTAGTTGAAGTTAGTCCACTCGTCTGGTTAGACACTAGGACTAATGGCACTCGGGAGCCACTAAACTAACAAACTCACCACTGATCTTGTCTCAGTCTAGCAGACAACATAAGTGTGTGCCCTCTGTTTGTATGCTGCCAGACATGGGTCACTGCATCTGTGTTTTGACTCAGAATTGGACAAACAGGCTTGCATGGATGTGAATACCACTTTCTAAAGAAGGGGACAGGGACCAGCATTTTGAGATTGATTCTTTCAACAATCAAAGCAGTTTTTTCAAAGGCTGCACAGGATTGCAAATATAATGTTATATATTGTTATAACATAACAAGAATAGGCATGAACATTTGTATTTATTTGTTCACACTATGTAATATTTAACCCATTTAATAGATGGCGCAATTTTTTCACTTGTTGTAGTATATAACTCTTTTTTTTTTTTGCTCATTCCAATGTGTAATGAATCATTATATTACATAGATATTTGTTCAATTATTACACCTGAACACTAAATTCTTCATCTCAGTAAAGCAGATGTGAACATGAAGCATGATTTTGTCCACATTTTGAATGTCAAAATGTCAAACGTTGTGGTTGTCATTCCCACTGCTTTATTTACTAGTTTGACCACAGGGGGAGTGGAAATGACAGCTGCCAGAAACACACACAGACACATGGAAAGCAGGGCCATGTTCTCAATACAATTTAATATTGTAGTCTCTGCAGAACCAATGATAGGAAATTGTTCAATAATTAATGTGTATAATATTTTTGTATGCATTATTGTGCAGCCTCAGTCATCCCCCTTGTTCAAGCACATGCTGTCATTACGACAGCTTAAGTAATGCTTCCACTAATAAGCATATGACATGACGAAGGTGCTAAAGAAGGATTTAGTGGTCAGTGCCAAACCCGAGACATCCACAGTGATGACACACTGTCTGTCACCCTGCACCTCTGAAGCAGCCAAAACATGTCCCCCTGCTATATTTAATCATCATTAGTTTTAAAGTAGCAGATACACAAATGAGTGCTGTTGGAGAAGATATGTTATGTTTTGTTTTTTTATGTTATGCACTCAAGCCTCAAATCCATGACAATACAGAGTTCTTCAAACATGCACGAATCCATCAAAATGCAACTCTGAGTAAGCTAATGATGAGGAAATAATGTTATTCCACGGTTAAATACTCATTAAAGCTGATTTAGCATAATATGCCTCCTTTATTTTTTTTTACAAGTCATGGTCTTTGTGCCACTCCCAGCTCCATAAACAAAGAATAGATTTTGGCCTAATAATATAAATCAGATGTGTTCATAAAAAGAAAATGTTAAATTGTTATAAAACTCTGTACTCTTAAACTGTTCATGTTCTGTGAATTTTTGCAATTATCCCTGGAAAAGTTGTTTGGGTGCTACCTCAAAACCTCAGCTACTCTTTGGTTTGACCTTTTGAGATCGAACTGTTATTTTCTGTGGTCAAAGCACCATTCAACATGGCCATAGAGACCAGGCCTGTGACCTGCCACAGCTCTCTTTACAGCCAGCAGTTATTCAGGCCAAGTTGTAGTAAAAACTGTAGTAAAAGATTCTGGCAAACATGATTCACTTTCAACTGAAGGGGATGTGTTTGAATGGTCTATAACCTCTCATTTTCTTGTAACTCTTCCTTGACCCCTACAGCACAATGTATAACTTGGGTCAGTGATAATTTATGTGGCTGGTGGCAGCCATATTGAAAGGTCAAGTCAAATCTAGCCCGAAGGAACACACTTAAGTCAAAGGGTAGGACTACTTGGTAAACATTCCATTGAACATTTTACACATAATGATATATGATAGCAAGTGTTAGTAATCATAGAAAAAGTTAATTTCAGTTTTGTTTCTGTTTATAAATGTGCAAGGTAATCTGAAGTTATTGTTTCAAATAGGGCTGAGCAATATGGGGAAAAAATTAACATGATTTTTTTCCCCCTCATATTAATGATCAATCTAGATTTTCAACTGTATTTTATTTAGTCTTTTCAGCAAAATGCAAACACCTCTTAGTAACAATTTCATGAACAAAAACAAAACAGACTTTTAATCAGTGCAGTTTAGCCCAAAGAAATATTATATAATATTTTTCAATCAATCAAAAGGTCCACAGCCAATTATCTGTCCCAACTCTCCAACCACATTGATGATTATACATCTTTTGATGAATTGCCCAGCCATAGTCTCACACTATTGTAAATTAAAATCAAATCTTTGACCAGCATGTCCATGTAGTGTATTTTGTATATTGTTGTACCAATTCCCAACAGTAATGTGCCAGCTAGACATTGTGTGTTTTCTTTATGTCCAGAATATGAAATTGTTTCACCATATGAGGTGACCCATGAAGGCACATACATCTCCCATGAAGTGTCCCACCACCAGAGGCGAGCCCGATCCCTGACCCCAGATACAGGCTTATCCCGGGCTCATAACGGCAGCCAAATGGTGCATTTCCGGCTCAGCGGCTTGGGGCAGGACTTCCACATGGAGCTGAGGGAGGCCTCGCACAACCTGATCGCACCTGGCTTCACCGTGCAGGTCCTGGGAAAGAACGCTACTAAGAGCCTGAGGGCCTACCACCGGGACGACCTTTGCTTTTACCAGGGGTCACTGAGGGCAAGGGTCAACTCCTCGGTGGCACTCTCCACATGCATGGGGATGGTGAGTCCAAACGCGCCTCACTTTGCATTTTGTTGCTTTACTGTTGGAAGATGCAGAATGGGAGACAAAAAGTTTCCTTTACTACCTTGTGCTAATGGCATGTGACGGTACATAAACATGTGGTAATACAATGAAGGAACATGAAGGCACATGTGTTGAGGCACAGTATATGCATACAGTATCTCTTTTGATCAGTTAAGGAGTAGGATATTTGCATGTTCATAAATTTCCTTTTATCATCCTACAGTTTGGAAATAATATTCTGCTACTGCTTTAACTTTCAAATTTTCTGTGGGAATCCAAGCTCTACAATGTCAAAGAACCACATTCAGGAGAGGACAGTGTTTTACTGTAAATGAATACAGTACAATGAATTGGTACAATCTTCCCTTTGTTATACAGAGTCTTTTTAATGCACATCACTCTCCACTTATCAAGAGGCCTATTTAGTGCTGGGAAGTACATAGCATTGGAGTCAGCCCATTGTCCAGCTGGTCAAGCTTTGCACTCTCAAACGCATGCAACACAAGCTGACATATAGGGCATGGCTGGTGAAGTTCTTTTCTGCCACCATTCTCTGTCATTAGCTGAGACTGTGACACAAAAGCTCTGAGTTGAACAGATCATTATCGTTTGCCTCAAACTACTTTACCTAGAAAGTATATAGTATATATCTAAGTAAGTAAGTAAATATAAGTATATATCTGTAAGGGAACCACCCAGAAAAAACATACAGTGTGTAATTCATTTCTAAAGTAGTCTGGACTTCAACAAAAGACAGTATGGATATATACATAATCCCTTCATTTTGAACTATCATACACAAGAGCTGCTCCATCGTCAAACTTCAAACGAAGACAGAAGTTACTTAAGTGCTAAATTTGCTATGCCAGGTTCCCGGTACCAAAGGTGTAATTGTACATTTTGCACTATAGATATGTTTTGCAACTTTAATTTGCTCTACATAAGTTTGCTTTTTGTGCAAGCCCCGCGCCTGTTCAAATTTAGAAAGCTGCATTTTCAAGGGCATCTGACTGTAATTACAGAGTTTAAAGGGCAGACAAACAATGAGCCCTTATAGACACAAATAGAAAAATATAATACAAAACAGTTTAAAGTGGTGCCTGATATATGGGTATGATTACACACGATTAGGTGTGGTTAACGTGCCAGTTTGTCATGCTTTGTGCTCTATTTTGTGTGTAAGTCAAGTCTTGTTTATACAGTATGTTCAATATAGCCTAGATGATCTCTTTGCAGTGTCTGAGAATTGCCCCTCTCTCTAGTCACAGATTGGCTCCCCTCCTGGGATGCTTCTTTTTCCAGAGAGTGTCGGCATTTCAGCCCAACTCCCAATAAAAGATTTAGCCAAAGGGTCTAGGGTTGCAGAGTCTATAAATGTGGTTCTCACGATTAAAAGACTAGAAATGACTTGGGTCAGTGCATCAATGGGAATCTGACTTCACTCAGATGTGAATTAGGGAAAACCCTGCAATACTAACTGAATCTGTCAATGTCAGTCAGTCATTGTATTTGCAAAGAACTGGCAAAGACATAACAGAAAGTATTATTTCTATAAAGATATTTTGTTTCTTCAGTACGGCTAATGTTCAAAGTCTGTTCTTGATAGTAAATGACTCAACACCGCTATGCAGATAAACAAGATTAGAAACACCCCATGTTCAGGAGGTTGATATCTGACTAACTGTTGCACATTGCCTTTTTTCCGATTGGGCATCTAACAGGTAAATATTGACCAGAGTCCCCTAAATCAATAGTTTTCTCATGCAACCACCTGTCTCCAAAGGTAGACGTATGCCCTTCTAGACACCTGCAATATTTATCAGTACTGATGGGATACTTTGTCCAGTTTTGACCCTGACACAAGGTTAGAAAAGCCTACTATGTGTCACTATTGTTTACTTGTTCACCACAGAACTTATCTGCAGCTTGCATTTATTTGCATACTTGCAAAAAAAAGTGCAAGACATCCTTCACGGTGTAATACGGACAAAAAAGTACAATTGATTTTGAAGCCAACCCCTGTGGCTGCATTAATTAAACTATTTATCCAAAATCTTTTACAGCAAAACCCATTAAAGGAAAATCTGAATTTGACCCCAACAGACATTTATACTCTAAGTTAAATCTTCTTACGTAAACTTGTAAAACACATACAGTAAAACCATAGCCCTCTGTACTTGTTCACGCCGCTGTACCTGTCTGTTGAACATATATCTAGGACTTCTAACACACACCTTGCCTTTGCACCAAAGGAAAAAGTCTGCTGCCCTACTGCAAATCACTCTGAGTTCATGTGTTTTCCTCTTGTAAAAAGATGGGTGTGTGTATAGCCTCAGGACAAGTAGCAGTAGTAATAATAGAATATGGCACACTCCCCGCCTTTGGGATTTCCAACAATATAAGAGACATCATCACTTGATGTGAAACAGATTTGATGAGCAGGCAGTGTGGTCTTGGCACACAAGTATAATCATTTTCCAAAAACCTGTTTGTATTGTTACAAGTTTGTTGATTTCAGGCTGAAAGCTTTGGGTTTTTGTTTGTTTTTGGCCCCTTGCATATAAATGTTGTGTAGTCTGTTTTGAGCAAAAAAAAAAAAAAGAAAAAAGTCATTTTATTCAATATATGCATGTTGCAATTTTTTTATGAATTGCCAAAACACAGTTGTCTTTATGCTGTCATTATGGAATCACTTTGCTTATCATTTCCATTTGTTCAATGAAGGTCTCCAGAAGTTCAGACTATTGAAAAAAATATTTATACGGGTGTGACTGTGATTGGTTGCAGTTATTTACACCATTGCTTTTAAAGTGAAACAAACTGCAGCATGACTCTAAAAATATCCATGGCCTAGAGTATTGTATGTAAAACAAGTTAACAGATCTTTGGCCGCTGTCAGGTGCACCTTGTAATGCATTTAGAGCTTCCTCCACAGTTCCGTTTGGTGTAGTTTCCCGCCTGCGCCCTCTCATTCCTGTCGTTGCTTGTCTGAATGCGTCTGACTCCAGAGGGTCCAGCTGTTTGCGCCCTCCCATGTAGTGTTTCAGTATTTTATTACTGCTATTTGCACCTCGTCCACAGCACTGTGTAATCTGATGACTCTGGATATTTAGGAAAGGCTTTACAGTGACCTAATCTCAACATACTGACTTGCATATAGTAGAAATGAAGTAATGAGTAGAATATAAATGTGTGGATATTGGTGCTGATATTTAAAAAATTGGTGAATCAGCTTCTAAGATATGGGATCACTTGATATCCCAGTTTGGTCTATAAATTGGTGTAATAAAACAAAATGTCTCATAACATTAAACTTGTATTTTATTCAACTTTGTTAAACGCTTTTCTGTAGTTACAGAACACATTTGATATTGATAGATTGTTGTACTTCATGCTGTTTGTGTAAACAAAATACAGCAGATACTTAAAGCCAAAGTATCTACATTGGTATCAGAAGAGAAAAACTTGGATTGTGCATTCGTAATTTGCAGACAGATTCTGACCTAGAACATCTCATGTCTCATCATCAATGTTTGAAGATTTATTCATATAAAGCTGTTCAATAGTCAGTTGAAGGATAAATAACAGTCATACAACACAATTGGATGTCATGTGTAATAAATTAACGGTGTTTCCTGTCCCTACACTGGTTCCGTTATTGGCAGATACTTAAAGTATACTTAAAGTATCAATATAAGAACCTAAAAAGCTGGATTGGTGCATTCCTCAGTATATTAGTGGTTTGGCTGACACCGCTGCCCCATTACGCTACCCAATGAGTGCATTTGGTTTGAGTGTGACGACAAGATGGCAACTGAAGATTCTAGATATAGAAAGTGTAGCATGTGACATATGCATGTAGTGGTGACAGCAAAAGACATGGGGGGCCGAGAGTGGATGAACATTTTCAGATTAAAATACAGTCAAAGCTATCATGATCTTGTTGACATGGGACAGTGGAAGTTGTTTTCAACAACTGCAGCATGGTTCAAATAGTTGCATGATGTTGAGTCCCTGCGCATGTACATGCAGCATTAAAAACATATGTACTGTACTCGGCACGCTTTATGAATTTAACGGGCCTCTGTGTAACCTTCTGGAGGAGGTCTGCCTACTTATCTCCGTGGTGTCATATATATATTATTGCTTTGCCTAGAATGTATCACAGTTTGTTATTAAAGGTCGGAATGGTAGCCGAGTGCCTAGCATTCATGCATCACAGGCCTTTCTGTGCAACATTTGCATGTTCTTCCCATGTCTGGGTGGGATTCTACCGGGCACTCTGGTTTCCGCCATCAATCCAAAACATGCACCATAGGTTAAATCCTACAGCTAAGGTAGTCCTGACCAAGCCTAGCAGGATCAAGGAAATTGCTCCCCAGGCACACTACATACTGCCCACTGCCCCTGAGGAGATATCCCAGCGGAATTGTAGGATGGGTCAAATGCAGGGGACAAATTTCTCTATGCGAAAAATAAAGTACCTTTCTTTCCTTAATAATATGCAAAATTGACTCTTGTGAGTTTAAAGCCATGTTATAATGTTGTTACCTCATCAAAAACATACGTGGAGTTGTGTTTTATTCCACATCTTTGAGTAGTCCTGCATTATTAGTCTGACTACATTTTGTGTCATTCAAGCATCAACCATTTGTAATCACCGGAATACATTGCCTAGTTGGACCACATTGTACTCACTTGCTTATATTTTGTTTTGTAACATTTTCATTGCCTTAATGATTCAGTTTAATAACTGAGATATAAAAGGGTGCTTTCAATGTTTTCTTTTAGTTTAAAAATATTTAGTTGTTTATAGATCAAGTAAAAGTGATTGACATGTATTATTAATTATTCATCGTTTTTAAGAGAACAGTAAAGCTTTTGTTATATTGCCAGTGTCCTAACATAAACTGTCCCAAATAGAGCTTTAATACATTACCATATGTTTCAGGTCAGGGGTTCCTTTCTGACACACATTTAAATTATTACAATTGCCTGTGGTCTGGTGCCATGTGGATTACTGCAGCACACACTGGCTGTCACAAGTGACTGTTACCAACCATTTTGGCTCAGCATTCCTGACCATTATCATTATTATGTCTTTTTGGCTAGGAATAAAAAGGATGATGAAGACATTGTTTATAGATTCGTACCCTGGCATTTGCTTGGATTTGTAATTTTTTGGATGTAGCAAAACATCTGCAGCTACTGAATGGGAGGAATGAGTAGACAATAATGATAGTGGCCTAGTATTTTACTCATACAAAATTGTGCTGACATGGCAATACAGCTCCACTATGAGTAAAGGAATTCTTTCTACATTGCTCTTGTTTTTGTTTATTTTTACAACGTGAAAAATATTGTAATCTTCTCAATGAGTAGTGAGACTGCGGCATGTTTCCTGTTGTACAATATTATAAGGTTGCCTAGTTATTGCATGACTGTGGTTATGTTTTGTCTCAGAAGCATCAATTACTCTACAATGAGAAATGACACAACTGTGCACAAAATACAGCTCAAGTCTGGTTACGGGGAAAGACATAAAAAGTAGTGACACATAAGTAAAATGAATAAGTTGACACTGCACTGCACTATATACCCACCTGCCTAAACTTTTGTTGTAGCATTATTTGACAATACAATTATACCATACAATCACATGACACAAGTACTGAATATGACATAGTGAACTCATTGTTTTGTTTAGAAGATACTGCAGCTCGTCTATGTTGGATGTGCTATGTGCTTCTGTTTAAGGCTGTGCAATTAATTGAATTTTGATCACGTTTTCGATTTGTGTGTCAAACGATCTCCAAACTTATATAATCAAGTTGAAACAAAGTTTATTTTGGATACATTTATGTTTTTCTATGCCTTTCATGTTAAAAGTATATTTGATTCATTTTATGTTTTATACATCACAAAACTGCTCTAAGATACCTGTTTGTAGCCTGTATTTATTTTCAATTTGAAAGTTTTGCATGAATGATCAATAACAAATTTTGAGAGAGAAATGCTGAATAAATGCATCACGCAACAAAAAAATAATTGTTTGAATAATCATGATTTCAATATTGACCAAAATAATGGTATAATGGCCAATGATAATGATTTTTTCCATAATCGAACAGCCCTACTTCTGTTGTAGGGTCCACCACCTTCTTGTCTCCATTGAGATTTCTTTGCTTGCAATCTTCTATAGTGTGGTTATAAACTTAATTTCTCTGTGGAGAGGAGCATTTGACACCACCTGACCTAGTTTCAGGTCAGATATGTGGAGGTGCGCCCCCACTCAAGTAAGAATCCACATTTTTCATTGCATTTTAAGTAAAAAAAACGCACCTTCTATTGAATTAATGCAAGATAGATATGCCTAATGCCATCCAGTTGAATATCTCAGACAAAGCAATAACTTCTCCATGGAAACAAGCCAGGCAGAGACTCTCCACGGGAAAGTTATATAGTGCACTTTTACTTTACTGTCCACTAAAAAAGAACTTCATCAGTGACTCTGTAGTTATAAGTGTTTTATTGTTTCCTTTAGTCAGGTTTGATCCGAACCCAAGATGCAGACTACTTCCTGAGACCTGTATCTCACAACCTGGCACAATCCGAGAACTTCACAGCTCCCCCTGGTCACCAACCACACATCCTCTACAAGAGCTACAGAGAGCCTCAGACCAAGACAGGACCCAAGAACCACAGTCTACAGAAGAGATCTTTACACTCTACAGTCTTTGGAACCAAGAGTACACCTGACGATCAGCCAAACAGGAGACATCACCATAACCACCACTACAGGCACGGGGAGAGGCAGAGGCAACACTTCTGCGGGAGACGGAAGAAATGTATGTAAGGGCAATTTCCTAACTTTTTTTTCCTGTTGATAGGAATTAGGGCAACAACTAATGTTTATTTTGCTAGTGGGTGGCTGTTAAGCACATATCAAAAAGCACGTACATATGAGGTTCATTATTATTATTCAATACATTATAAAAATGATACCTGCACAAAAGAAAAACAATGCTGACCGTGATTCTAGAAAAAGGGGTTTTATTGTTGATTATTTACAATTGATAGAACTAAATGTTTTAGCCATAGTAGAAACTGCACTTGTGTTAGAATCTGTCACAAGTGATGTCAACAAACATGCATCTTCTTCAAAGCTCAAGGCCTATAGTTTGCATGATCTAGGTCCAAAAGAATGTGTAAATTAACCCAAAGCTCAAATCTTTGACAATGTATTTTATGGCACCATTTGTGGACATGCAACCATATTGTTAAAGGACATTATTTAAACCTGCTGCCGTCTTTTCCAGTGTGTTTCTCAGTTGTTCTGTGAATGATTAATCTGCACCTTTAAATCATCTACTGCTCATATTTCACATGTTAGGCCTCGTAGCTTTGCAAAACAATATATCATTTCCTATACACTATGCAGCATACACATTATGCATGTCTATTGTCCTACATGTTATCATTGGAGCTCTGCAAGGACTCATAATAATGAATGTATTTCCCAGTATAAGGCGATGCACTTTGTAATTACACAGCACACACATTTATCATCACAAACCAAAATGTTATGTTATTTTATATATATATAATAGGTGCACAATGTAACTTTTCTGGTCACCTGTTTGTGTCAGTGGAAATGTTATTGGTTTGTATAGAAAGCAACCCATAGTTGGAATCATAGCAGAAAAACACCTATTTAAACTTTAATAAATGCAATATAGAGTTTATGTCATAGTGTGGAACATTTTTGAGCAAAAGGTATCTTCATGAATGAAAGCAAACCCCCCCCCCCCCAGAAAAGTTACCTTTAATAAATTGTAATAGTTTTATTTAGTCTTTTACAGCAATTTAGTTAGTTTGATTCTCTTGATGGCTGCTCTGAACAATATCACTTACATTAGGATTTCATTTGTGACTTATCATATGATGTTAGGGGAAATGTTGTATATACTCTCTCATTGACTCGGTCTGACTAATGTTTGCTTTAAGACGTTATCTTCAGATCAGTTAACATGGGCCCGTGCAGAAGGGGTCATTTCAAAGGGAGCACAAACTGGAAAGGGTCCATGGACGTTACCCTGCAGAACCCCAGCTGTGTGTCCCCTGAGAAAACACAATATTGTTTACATTCCCGTGGGGTGACTGCACTGAACACCTGTGCCATGTTTTAGGCAGAGAGAGACACTTTTGGGTCCTCACCTGCTTTCTGCCTACATAAGCAAACTTTGAAGGTTTTATGGTTTCCAGCAAGAAGTAAAAGTACTGATAGAAAAACATAGCTTCAGACATGGGGTGAAAATGTTTACAAGATTTATTGCTAAGCTGCGACTTACTGACCTCATGTCATAGGAAAGTAAAAGTTAAGCCACAACAGAAAATAGTTTGTCTGTGTCTTCACTGCAATGTTGAGACTTGTGACTTATCCTGGGAAGGCCCCGTTAGTAAGGCTGCACAGACACCGCCTATCCAGGAAAAATTGCTGGATTGCGCTATCAGTTCCAAAATATTTTTCAACTGATAACCTCTTTGAACCTCTAAATAAGTGTAATAAGACTATTGACTTGACTGTTGGTCCAGAAAGTCTCAATACGATTTTAGCTTGTATTTATTAAAAATGGCTCTGTAGTTATTTGAAGAATAAATAATGATTACATAACTTAATTTGATTCATTTTGTGTTTTAAGGAAATAAATGCACTAGGATTGGTTAATATTGGGTGTTGGCAAATATGCTACTTCAAGATAAGGTATTCGTATGTATGTTGGTATTAGAACTGAAAAAAATGTATTATTGATTCCTTAGTTGTTAAGGTAGAGTTGCAAATATTGCACCATACACTTTATAAAATTGTCTAAAATTGCGCATTTAAGTTAAGTTAAGGTGCTGTAGCTTTTTGCATGTCAATTTTATACTCGCTGTCATCAATACATGAACCAAGAACGAAAGAGTGCTAAATATTTTTTAACAGTTTAATTTTAGTTTTCCACTCTCCTTCTGTCTCCAGTCATGCCTAAACCTCCAGAGGAAGACGCGTTAGTGCTACCAGATGAGTACAGATACATGCCAAGGACCAGGAGGGCGGTGCTTATGAAGCAGCAGACCAGTCAGAAGCTGAACGTGGAGACGTTGGTGGTTGTTGACAGAAAGATGATGGACAACCACGGCCATGACAACATCACCACATATGTTCTCACTGTGCTCAACATGGTAAAATATGAGGAAAATCTACTCAAGACTCAATTGTTGATAGAGGTGTCAAATGAGCTGTAATTGGTCTGAAAGTCATGCGTGAAGCTATTACATCTTGTTGCTTTAACATTTTGACACCATTCACTTAACAAAATGTGATGGTGATGAGATCACCATGACCACATTCTCAGGGTTTGGCAATACTTGAAATGTAAGCAATGTTGGGAAATACCTAAGACTTCCACGCAAGTACCTGCTTTCAATGCACATATTTAAAACAATACTTTAGTAGCATGTTTCAAAAAAAAAAAAAATTTGAAGTGATATTGACCTGTGAAAGTAGCAGTAGTGGTATGTGTAATTCTAGGCACACCTAAACTGTAGCAGTGTATTATGGTAATTGCATTTATACTACAGTAACCCAAGTAATATTTTTGTAATAACACAATACAAATCAATAAACTTACTACATATATTTAACTGTACATTCACTTAATTTTAGTAATTCTTCACCTCTGCGCGCTTGTGGGTCCTGTCGTACGCCTTATGTTTTGATTGACTGACAAATCCAAAACTAATTGGTGTATTTTGGAAAACATGATTTACGCCACAGATATGTTGAAGCTGCCAGAGGAGGAAGTCATATAAACACTGTGTTAGGTTTCCCACAACATGAATGGCCGCACACCTAAAGGATAATTTAATATAGGCTACAGTTACACACCTTTAACATGTTTCATAGATTGTTTTCTTTAGAACTAAGTGTAAAACATGAATATATAGTATAATTGTTTGTATAGTTGTGGAAGTAAAAACAAGGAATCCTTTAAATATTGTTATTGTGCTATCCTCCACCATTTGTCAAACATAATAGTTCGATCAAAACTCTTGATTACCTTCAGGAACCTATAATGTGCACTTGGCTTTTGCTAACAGACTCCAGCCTTGTGTCAACACGTGAGTCAGCTGTGCACGGGAACATAAGGAATGAATGAAGGTGTTCTTGAAGAAAAAAGGGGCTTAGCAAGTGTCATCCGAGGAATTCACAAAGCACTCTGAGAAAGACAAGGGCCCACTTTCAAAGCTCCAGCTGTTTTGATTGATGTTCAGATAGTCGCTGCTCAATTGGAAACAGGGGCTGAGGTGGCCAGATCAGAGAAGGGTCAATTTATGCTGAAAGATTGTAGTGATGGGATTGCCATACTGTTGTCATTGAGTGTTGAAGAGCACATTTGTTACATCATGCAGTAGAGCTCATTTTTTCTTATTAAAAAGACTTTTTGATCAGTGCCACAAATACAAAAATAGTTCAGTTTATTACTCCAAAGTTTGAACTCTCATCCAAACCACATGCTTTTGCTGATGGAGCATTGGTTGTGGAATTATTTCTCCATGCAAATCACTTTGAAACATTTGCATCTAGTTTTAAATACAGTTTGATTTACTTATAGTAGCATGTTTTTATTGTATTTCTGTTTTGCTTTTTCAGGTTTCCAGTTTGTTTAAAGATGGGACCATTGGAGGAAACATCAACATAGTCATTGTGGGTCTTGTGCTTTTGGATGAAGAACAGGTACTCAACGACAAATAGTTTTCTTTATGTCTCAGCCACTGCATATGCCTGTACTTCTGGTGAATATAAAAGTTAATTGATTGAATGCAAATTCTATATAAAATGTAACAAAGAATCTTTTGTTTAGTTGTGTGTGTTTGAACTGGAAGAGTCTTTTCTACCTTGTATGCTTTCAAGGAGATTCCTCTGTACTTACTAACTACAAGGACTTTTTCATTGGTTTAATAAAGGGGTGTGTATGTTCTTGGATCATATTCTGAAGGGTTTTTTTCTGCGGTAAAAGGGTATTTAAAAAAAAAAACCTGAGGATGTATAGAGAATAGTAAAGAAAGTCCAATACCAGCATATGGGGATTAAAATGCCTAATGGTTCGTCTACTCAACAGAATGGCTTAGTGATCAACCACCATGCAGACCACACACTCAACAGCTTCTGTCACTGGCAGTCGACGATGGGAGGCAGAGGCGGGCGAAGACACGATCATGCCATCCTCCTCACTGGACTGGACATCTGCTCCTGGAAGAATGAACCATGTGACACTCTGGGTAATACTATTGAATGGGATTATTCACCTCAGATTCCAACATAATATAATAATATACGTGGTAAAGCATAAGTCACTGTAAAGTCAGGAAGAAAGATAAAACTCAAAACAAATGTGCCATGTCCCCATCCCCTGTGACTATCATGTGTACCTTTGGGAAGGTGCCTCTACCATCTGTCCCTCCCTCTGACACAGGTTCACTTCACCCAAACCAGATGTCCAACAAATCTGTTGTTTTGACATCTCTGAGCTCTTGAGTTTCACATGATATAACAAAACACACTGCTTAGTACAATGACAATTGATCATTAGGACAATGTAACATTTTGGTATTTTATACATTTAATTTTTTTGATTATTTGTTTGTTTGCTCTACAGTAGACTTCAATCCAACAAAGTGCAAAGAAGAAAGTTTCAACTGGTATTTTCTGATCTTGCTCATGATAAGATACTTTTATCTCAATACTAGAGTGATTTCACACATAGACTAACTTAAAGCAGCTTGTTTGTTGTAATGACTATGTAGGCATTGGCCAGTGTGAGAAAAAAAAAGACAACAAGTCTGTATCCATGTACATGCAGTGCTCTCAAAGGCTTGCCTTAAGATGTGACTTCAAAGTGTAGGGTCTAGCATTAGGCCTAATCATGGCTATGAAAGCTGAGTTCAAAGACTGTGTGTGAGCTAGTTCTTTAGGCTACTTAGAGGTGAATGACCACAAGCACCACCAGGCCATATAACACACTTTATTTACACAACTTTTGTGGACTTTTTCTCTTGTGTTTTCCTCATTTTTCAAAAGAGCAGTGTCAAACAGTGATGATTTCTTCGTAAAAGTGAAACCAAATAGTTGTTCTCACAGTTAATCTGCCTGCCCATGTTTAACGTCAGTGTCCACATTAGTTATATACATGAGAACATATGTCTGCAGCAAATGAGTTAGGGCCGTGAAACAGCAACACATGGCTCAATTCTCCCAGAGACACTCAAACAAAAACCTTAAAGGAGTCCCTCTGGGGTTCACCAGTCTTTTGATTCACAGCCAGAACGTTGTGGGCCTGTGTGAGGGAAGAAAGGAGATAGTGTGGATAGAACAAGAACGTTTACCCACAGTTTAAGCCAATGTATACACGTTTATTCTATATGACGCTAGTGCAAAATCATATCCCTTCTAGAGTGCAAGGACTTGTGGCCTTTTGTGGCTGGATAGACTTTATGTTGTCTATACTCCAAGCTGAGCATACTGAGCATAATAGATTTCTGTGTTGCTTTATATTTATTTATTTGTTTGTGTTTTGTAGGTTTTGCCCCAATAAGTGGCATGTGCAGCAAATATCGGAGCTGCACTGTCAATGAAGACACTGGTTTGGGTTTAGCATTCACCATTGCTCATGAGTCTGGACACAAGTGAGACCATATCATTGTATTGCACATCAGTGTAGGCTTATACTGATTTCATGAACTGATTCATTTTCCTTTTGTTTACGTAGTTTTGGGATGGTCCATGACGGGGAAGGAAATGTGTGCAAGAAGTCTGAAGGGAACATCATGTCTCCTACATTAGCCGGTCACAACGGGATCTTCTCCTGGTCTGCTTGTAGCCGCCAGTACCTCAGCAGATTTTTGAAGTAAGAGCTTTGTTATCAGAATTTCAAAATAAAACTACAAACGAATCAACAAACAGAGTGTTACTGAGAGCATCCCTTGTCGTGGGAAATCTTACAAACCTAAATGAGAACCACAGAAGAAAGAGTCCTGACCCAGCATGGACAGGCTTTCCTGGACAGCTGTATACACCAATCTGTCATAACATTATGAGTACAGACAGGTGCAGTGAATAACACACATCAATCTCAGCATTATGCCACCTGTTAGTGGACTACATCAGACTGTAAATCTTGATGGTTAGAAACATGGAAAGTGTAAACAAGGTTTTTGGATTTGGGACCAGTTCAGCTGGGTTAGGGGCTTTCAGAGTATGTCTCTACAGATTGTCTGAAAAAAAAGAGTTAGCAAAGCAAAGACAGCACAATAATTAGTTACAATTCTAGTTTGCAATGGGGAAAAGATTTAGGAGTTGTTCTAGTTACATAAGTCAAGAGAACCTTCATATCATCTTTGCTTTTCCAGACATTATATCCATGTGACAGATATGAGTAACAACCAGACCCTCATGCAAGTTTTCATTGCGTGTTTTACAACACAGGAAGAGTAATATATATCTTTGGAGCCCTTTTTCCCAAATTGCAGTGTTCTTATATGATGCATGTGTGTTTATATCAGACATGTGCCGCTGATTAACATGGGTTTCAGAAAGCATGGGACTCAAAAGTGTTGATCTACATTCATAGTGTCTGGCCTTTCTGTCTGTGAATGTGTAAGCGCTTGAAACGAGATAGGTCAAAGCTGGTGCCCGCCACTAAATTTACCAACTAACTGTCAGGTCTCCCCTCTCAAAGTGCTGCAGACAGACACTGCATTTCCTGGCTGAGTTATTGGAGCTGTAGTGACCTCACCCTTGTTAGGTCTGTCAGCTTTATATTAAAACTCCCATCACCCCCTGGGGCCTCGCGAAGGGAATCTCTGAACCAGTGAACTCTCTACAGTCAACACTTTATAAAAACACCTAAATTATGTGTTTTTGACTAATTATAATCAGCTGAACATGAAGATAAGTTGATTGCAAGTCATCTGGATTGCTGTGTTTGATTAGGCAAGCAAAAAGCCTCCTGTGTTGTTGCAATGCACTGAAAAAGAACTGCAGTGGGTAGATAGTAGAACTTTTTCATTGCACGCTGTTGTTGTGCCAAAAAAAACCAAAAAACTATCAGGCTGTAGGAAAAAAGAAAAGAATTAGTTCTTTATTGAATTTTGTTATTGATATATGTACATAGTAATACAAAACATGTCTGAAAACAAAGTATCTGAATTTAAATCACTGTGGTTGGAGTTAAGTTTCAAATTTTGACAGAGTTCAGCACAATGCAAGTTTAGCACTAAGGTTTGTACTTGCCATTAGTCATGCATTAGTTCAACTTTGATTGCCAAATAAAGCTAGAGCTGGCATCTTAAATTGTAGTGTAACTTTCAGCTTTCTATCCCATCCACCAAATTTGTCACCTCCTACATTTTGCCAGAGTGGGTTTTGGTTCTACTGTATGCATATGTTTTAGGTTAGATTAGGTTAGGTTAGGATAGGTTATTCTTGGACAAGGATGTCGTTTGTTACCATTCAATAATGGACAAATAGGAATAAAATGAAAACGTATATCATCCCTATACCATATATATATACATATTGACTTATGGCTCTATGATTGATTGACCAAGACTTTACACTTCACTTAGTTTATTATCTGGATAATGTATCACTTAACCGCCTGGTAGGTTTCTGACCCAAATAAGTGCTCATGCAGAAAAGGCATTGTTCTTTACAGACATAAGGGCAATAAAACAAAGCACAATCGCACACACTACCTCTGCTAAAGCCATCAGAACCAATCCGATATTGGACTTAACGTGCTTTTACCATATTTTGTGTTGTAGTTTCTTGGCCTGCTCTACCAAAGCTGTAAAACATCTCTGTATAGAAACCAGTGATATCAGTTAACACTGGAAACCCCCACTGGTGAAAACATACGCGTGATATGGGCAAGGATTTCGTGACATAATTAAGTGCTTTATTTGAGCTGAAGTTTGGCATTTTGATTTTGTTTTGTTGCCATGGTTATGCACATGGGTACTCTCCCAAAAGCACTACAATAGGACCTACACGTTGAGGATTTTTCCCCACATTAATTAAAAAAACACATTAACAGCACTGAAGATACTATTTGAGTTATTTTTTATTTTATTTTGTTGGTAAGATAAATTCAACAAATTAAATGGAATAAATTATCAATGCATCTATTAAAGTTCCTTTTAACAGGGCTCGTTCATCTTAGGTGGTTAGTTGGTTGTAAGTTCCGCAGTAGAAAAGATTGTGTGATTAACGTCATGTCATCCTCATCTGTACTGACTTGAATACTTTAAACGACTTCTTATGAGTGGATATTTGTACACTGTAATTCCTGTGTATGGCGTCCAAAAAATTTAATTATTAAATTGACTCTGTTTTGTTCTCAGTACTGCCCAGGCACTGTGCCTGTCCGATGAGCCCAAAGCAGTGGATGAGTATCAGTATCCAGAGAAGCTACCTGGAGAGCTGTACGATGCCGATACACAGTGCAAATGGCAGTTTGGCGAGAAGGCAAAACTCTGTACTTTGGATTTTAAAAAGGTAAAATAGTACATTGGTTCAAGTACAACTTAAAGCATGCTCTTAGAGTTGAAGTCAGTTATGTCATTCCATGGTGGTTTTTAAACAGCTAAAATATTGCCAAGCCTTGATTCTCCTTGGACTTTCAGAGCACACCCATGTAACACGAGTGCTTTGTAATTTAACTGTGACAGCACAGAATGAGTGTATATATAAATAGATGGGAGAATATGTTTTTAAAAGTTTAAATAGCCTTTTGTACAGTAAATTCTTCTTACTCTTTCTTAGGAAGCAAACCGTGATAGCCTAAAGAGCAGCTATTAAAAAGCCATTGGAATAAGTGACTGAATGCAAAGTATTCACTGGAGCTTTGCCAGTGGGAGTCTGTCCATTTGAGGCACTCATTGTCTCATTACTACTCGTGTTGCTTTTGGAGTCGCACTGCCAGCCTTTTCAATAGAGTCTAATTTTGCTGAGTGTTATAGTAATGATATAATAATAAGCATGTTCTGTGTCCTACGCATTATGCTACAAAACATCTGGATAACAAATGTCCCAATTTAACCTCAAAACCTCTTAGTTTGGGGACCAATTCTAATCTGATTAAACAAGGACATGCAACAGCAAAACATATATTTATCACAACCATGGATATATATATATATATATATATATATACACACACACACACACACACACACACACACGCGCACACACACACACACACACAGAAGACAACACACACACTAACATTTTTGGCTCAGTTCAAGTGTGAGAGCAAAGTTCTCACTCAAGCTGAAGTTGTTCCCTTAACACTTGTCACTCATAAAATGACACCTTTATTACTACACTCAGGGGTGTCTTTTGCCATTTAATGAGTTCACATTACATTAATCTTATTGGCCCAGTGATACCTCCTAGGAGCCACATGATACTCTCAATAGTGTGTATCCACATAGTGAAACATTACCCCATAGTATTTAAAGTAGTATAAAATACCTTTCTTTGATCTGTATCTATTTTCCATCTTGTCTCATTCTTATTCTTGCATTACTATTGCTGAGCCGACAGAAACAGCTGGACATTAGCCTTGGGATGAATTCCTAGGTGGCTCTTGGCAGAAAGATGGAGTGCAGCTTGACGGCATCTGCACTGAACTGTCAAAATCTGATATAGTCATTCACGTATTAATAGAGAGGACATGTTGAAAAGTAGCAGAAGAAGTTTCTCAGACATTATGAAAGTAGAAATCACACAATTCTGTCATAACAAAGAATAAGAAGGTAACTTAAAAAAAAAAAAACTATATATGGAGTTAAAAACAATCCATCAACCCACACGTTTTATTAATTACTAGTATAAAGGTAAATAAACCTTTATTTGATACATATACTATAAGTTTTTCCTGAGCTGTCGTCCTAGCTACCGGAACATAAATAACTCCAAACAAAGCTTACTGCTTACGTAGAGATTGCCAAAATATCATTATTCAAAGAGATACGTCTGCAAGTTTAGTCAATGTATTTTTTTTAAGTGCTCCTTGGAGACAGAAAGCATCAGTCTGATTTATGGTTCTTTGATTTCCCGTGTCTGGTGTTATTAATGTCTGTTTTGTGATGACTCTGAGCATCCCTCTTTAGTCATTGACATAATTTAAATCTCCCTCTGTCTTCCTTTACCTGATTCAGGACATCTGCAAGGCCTTGTGGTGCCACCGTGTTGGAAGGAAGTGTGAGACCAAGTTCATGCCAGCGGCTGAAGGTTCTGCTTGTGGTCCAGATATGGTGAGATTACACTGTGTTTCTTCTATTTGCATGAAGTTGGAGAGGTTTTTCACATGACTGGCACGAGGCATCGTTCACTTTTCATGTTGCAGAAAAACTGGAAATTGACCTAGCTCTTATCCTTAAATGACTTTAAAACCAAGCTGAAAGCGTTAGAGACTGCCTCAAAATGTGAACTTTTTTCTTAATCTCTGATCCTGTCATTTTATTGTATGTTGTAACTATGTGTCAGACTTTGCTGCCTCTTGGCCAGGACTCCCTTGAAAAAGAGGTTTTTAATCTCTGTGCGATTTCGCCTGTTAAATGTTAAATAAAAGAAGAAAAAATAAGAAAAGAGAACTTGCAATTGAAGTGTTCAACAAAACAAAAACTTCTTGCAGTTATTTATAATAATGATGGCAAACAAATATTTACATTTGATTAATTATATCAAAATGTGATATTGTACATTGATAAATGTATGATATTCTCTGCCAAGTCCACATAATATAATATACAGCCCCAATAAATTTAAAGATTTAAGACTTTATCTAAGTTTTCTGTAGATTTTAAGACAGACCATAAACATACATAAGACAAGTGGATGAATGCACTTCAGGTTCATCTCAGTCCATTTGAAGTGGACTGCATCATTTTACTTCTGGCAGCAGCTGGGTCTGGTTTTGGTGCTGACCTTGCAAAAATGTGCCATTGACTTTCATGCCAAAAACAAACTATCCACTTAGACTTGATTCTGTTCTCATGCTTATTTCAAGATGATCCCCCGTAGGGGTTTGCACTGACCCTCTCTCCCCCGACAGCTTCTCATCAACAGTGCTTCTCAATATATTGAACCTGATGTCTTAATCCCGCCCCTCTTGCTTCATGGGGCAATTAACTCCACACACAAACAATGACAGGCGCACATAGGAATCCCAGCACTCTGCCACAGGGGGGAACTCTGGGAAATCAGCTGTTCCTGCTTTGAGCCCAAAACCACAAGATTAGAAAGATAGTAGATAGTAGTGCTCCTCAAACTTCAGTCTGTGGGATGGGTACTACCCTTTGCACCTGGGCTATATCTGGTGAAGTCTTAAAGGGCCCATATTATGCCATTTTCTGATCTACTACTATGTTATCATGGTGTGTCCTCATGGTGTGTTTTGTTTCATTCACACATGTTTAACACACAAACTGAAAACACAATACACTACAGGAAGTGCTCCATTGTGATTTTACACCCTATATACCTTCACTAGAATCATTTGGATCTTTTCAGTCCTGGAATTACCAGTCTCTCCTGAACTAAAGGTAAAAGGAAGTTGTTAACTTGAAAACTACCACTTCATGACATCAGAAAAGGGAACAGAGCATTATGAGATGTAGAGATGTAGACAGACTCATAAACCATCATTACTCAAACTTGTGTGAATGAAACAAACTCCAGGTATATTTCTGAGGAAGTAACAGCATTATAACATGGCTAAAAGCTCACAAGAATCCATTCTATGTGACCTCTGAACCAATATGGATGTACTGCTGTACTCCAGGTTTTGTTGTATTCTTGAATATCTTAAAATACCATCTAAATCTCTACTAGTTAAGTTTTGGTTTAGTCCAGATTGGTTGGTTGTTAAACCTGTTTTACTTTGATTAAGATTCTTATTTAGTCTAGATTAGAAGAGGGTGTTATTATCTTATCTTTAGAACATGCTTATTTATAAACGTTATAAACGTTATGCTTAGGTTCAAACATTACTCAAAATGTGATTGCACTGTAAAACCCCAAATTTCTCGAGCCGTTTTCCTCTGTTAGGACATCCAACAACCACACAATTAACGATGTCGATGAAACGATGAAATAAAAGCGATATGGTTCAAAAGACTAGAAAAGATCAGCTTTGTCAATAGACTCATCTCACTGGGAAATCAAACATGGCAGTTTGATCCTCACTTTTTCGGAGAATCCTTCCCAGTATGCATTGCGCAATGACCGGAAGTCCGAGATTCTTGATGTGTCTATAGGAGAAATATTCCCTAGAGTTTATACATATGCATGGTAATTCCTATTTTTGCAGAACTCCAAAACAACAATATCCATTCCTCAATATATCTTTCACCTCTAATTAATGCAGATTTAGGAAATACATTAAAGGCATAGGCCTACTAAATGTTTCTTGGCGTGATGCTTCATGTTACTAAATCTGTACTAAAGCATGTTGGGTGCACTGTATATAGTACTGGTTGCAGCCCGTGTAAAATGAGCTGTTAAAGGGCATTGTGCGGATGATGCAATCTTAACACAGACAAATCCAATTCAAAGGCAGTACCAGGAAACTGCATTTGACATAATGTTGCTTTAGGTAAATCCCAATTTGGTGAAGTCTTCTAGTATTACATTTAGGGGGTTTTAAACATGTGAGTGGTTGCTTGGTTAGTGACTCAGCTGTTTTGATACACTTTGGGAGTTTCATGTGAGAGCGTATGTGAAATTTGTATGACCTCATGCATGCCTTTTTACATTATTCTAGAAATCTATTTTGGCCTGCATTCTCATCTGAAAACATAACCATGTAATAAGATAATACAGTGCTTATTATTACTTACAAAATAATCACTATTTTTCCCAAATTAACTAAGTCCTTGCAGCATATAAAAATGTGGTAATAGTTTATCTATTTTTTGAAATGCTTTGCCCTTTGCCTTGGGTCCTCATAAAAAGACACTGATTGTGACTTGCATATTCAAAAACAATGACCTTTTTGTTTGTTAGCCTTCTGCTTGCTATCTTTTGTGTTTGTTTACCACTATTCATTGTGCACGTATCACCTCAAGGTAGCCTGGTCTCTTAGTAAAGTTTCTGTGAAAGATCAGCCAGATCTGGGTCTATCTCATAAGACTTAAACTTTAAATCCACCCTAATAGCTTCAGAGGCAGTGCTCATAAAGATGATCTAGGGCTGGGTCAGTTGGAAAGACTGCGCAGTTTTGACACTTTTATAACACCTTGTTCTGAGCTACCTCCTTCTTTTCTGTCTTTTAAAGAAATCTGTTTTCTCTTTGTTTCTATGAAGTGGTGTCGCAGGGGCCAGTGTGTGAAGCAGGGTGATGAAGGCCCTCGTCCACAACATGGACAGTGGTCAGAGTGGTCATCCTGGTCTGCCTGCTCCAGGAGCTGTGAGAGCGGGGTGTCCCACAGAGAGAGGCAGTGCAACAACCCAAGGTAAATAATGCAGAAACAGCACTCAGAGTGGTTAGCACATTTGTCTCATAGCAAAAACATGAAGGTTTGACCCTGAGAAAAATTTTCATGTCCGTCCCATAGTATCATTTGGTCACTTAGATTGCATTAGTTTTCTGATAAAAACAAACTGAGAAATTGAGAGACCCTTCTGCATCATGAGCAGGTATCTCAGCATCCCAAGCATTTCCCCCCTTCAACCTGAACGCTTCACCTGAGTAGGGCAGCAAAGACTAAGCGTCACCTGCAGAAGGGTTCCAACTCCAATCTTTTGTTAGCCACAGTTATCTTTCCTCAAATACAGAGGCATTCCCCCGCAAAGCCTTCTTCATCTGCCTGAGTTCTAGGCCGATGCTTTGGAGAAAATGATGCACAGATGATGAAGGAAACCTGCGTCAGCCCACTTAGATGGGAAACAGGGCTGTGTTCCACCCTCTGGAAAGGGCTTCATTTGTGAGGTCTTTATTCTTTTTTTTTTTTTTTTTTTTTTTTTTTTTTTTAGACTTTTTCATCTTTTAAGGGCTGCCACATTTGCAGCATTCAACTTTTTGGTAAACTGTTTGGCTAATAAATGTTGGAGGGAATTGTATTTTGAGTAAAAAGAAGTTTAGGGGCAAACCTTTTGGCCACCTCAACCTCACCTCAAAACCAGAATAAAGAGGACAAAAGAATTAACAAAAATACGGGTATAATGTGCATGTTTTGCAGCTTTACAGTCTCAGTGCAGTGATTTAACACAGTGAGGATGGTTCTCACAGCCTGACGCTTGGGCCTTATCTGTCCGCTTTAGTTCCTTATTCATCAGTCACTCAGGATTACTTGCACTGCCAGTCAAGGGGCCCTAGTACCGCAGAACTCGGGCCTCCTGTTTATCATGTCATGCCAAAATCCTGACAAGTGGCTGGCTAAATTAGACTGAGAGTGATGAGAAGAAAAAGAAACACTGTAGAATTTTGTTAGAGAAAAAAGACAATATAGAGATGCTGGGAGAGTGGGTGTGGGGTGCGATGGAGCAGATAACAGAAATATGAAATAAGAAATATGAAATGTGCAGAATTTAAGGGCATTTATAAGTGACAGTGTGATTGGCTGGAGTCTATTAAAGCTGCAGTTGTCATGAAAAAGGGGGTTTCAAGAATGTCGCCTGGGGATATACACCTGTGATTGAACCCACTGTTGATGTATTGTATAAATCACCTCTTATGTCGTGCAACTATGCAAGTTACGACAAATATGCCTGTCATATCTTTTCAGGCCAGCGTATGGGGGGAAATTCTGTGAAGGTTCTTCCAGGTCATACAAACTATGCAACACTGAAGACTGTCCTCCCAACAGTATTGACTACAGAGCGCAGCAGTGTGCCGAGTTTAACAGCAAGCAGTTCAGAGGGTGGTACTACACATGGAGGCCCTACACTAAAGTGGATGGTAAGACAAAACTGGAACACAGCTTTAAGTAAGATGTATTATTTCTTTTGATCCTATGTACCAAATCATATTACATAAGTTTGTTATATGTATTTATTTTAAAAGTGGCCACGTTCCATTAGCTCTTATTTTCTGACAGATCAAGACATATGTAAGCTGTACTGCTTTGCTGAGGGATATGATTTCTTCTTTGCTCTGGCCAGTAAAGTTAAGGATGGTACACTCTGCTCACAAGACAGCTCAAATGTGTGCATAGATGGACTTTGTGAGGTAAGAGTACATTTGAATGCCAAATCATAATAAATCATTGAAGGTGTGTCTAAAAGTATACCATAAATTCTTTGGGGCAGGGTGAAGGTTTAATCACAACATGATGCAATATGTCATCTTCAAAAGACTTTTGTTTTGCAGAAAGTCGGTTGTGATCGAGTACTTGGCTCTACAGCTGGGCTTGATGCCTGTGGGGTGTGTAAAGGAGACAACTCCACATGCAAGATTTATAAAGGACAGTATACTAAACAGCACTACACAAACCGTAAGTTAGTAACATTTATTTTTAACTTACTTAAAAATAAATGTGGGCATACATTTACTAGATGATTTACTGGAAGATACTAGATAAAATAAATTTGGTATTTCACTCCACTCTATAAGGTTGAAAAAGGGCAAGTGTAAGTATTACAAATTTGACACAAAAAAATTATGTGGTTGTATACCTAGTTCCAAGACTCTTGTCTGCTATTCCCAGCTTCTCATCATTTTTGTGGCAATAGCCATGTTGTGGCCTTACCACTTTGCCAATGTCTGATCTTGTCTGATGTAAGAAGTAAAGCCAAATTGGGCTGGGTTAATACTTGGATGGGAGACTGCTGGGAATACCATGTGTCATGTTGGGGAGCAGTGGCTTTAGTACATTCTGTTGTTGTGGCAAGACACTTCACCCTTGGTTACCATCACTCAGTTTGGAATAACTGAACAATGGACAGAATTGTAATCTGAAATCATCCTGAAAAGCCCTATATAAGACTAATTGTTATTATTAAAAGTGCATGAAACAATGGTAGCAGATTGGAAGAAATGTTTGCCTAATAGTTCTAGCTATGTTACAAGTATTTATATCTCTATGTTTATTTTAGAGTATTATGGAGTGGTGACAATTCCATCTGGGGCAAGGAGTATTCGTGTGGTGGAGTTGAACACATCCAGCTCATATTTGGCTGTGCGTGACACACAGAGACGCTACTTTCTAAATGGGCAGTGGACAGTGGACTGGCCGGGCAGACACTCGATTGCAGGAGCCATCTTTGAGTACAAAAGGCCTTACAATAGACCAGAAAGTCTTATATCATCTGGGCCAACTAATGAGACACTAGTCATAGAGGTAAACATGTTTTTATGGCTGTACTTGTGTAAAAGTAATAATCATGATACTTAACTAGTCTGGTTGTGTGCTTTACAGTTGCATGCATTGTGTAGTTGTGCAATTGTTAATACATTTCATTTATATTCATTGTCTTTTCAGATTTTGCTTCAAGGTTGGAATCCAGGTGTACGCTGGGAATACACCTTGAAAAACTCAGATGAAAAGAAGAATCACATAAAACACAGTTATACCTGGGCCATTATTCGCTCACAGTGCTCTGCCACATGTGCAGGTGGTAGGTCAAAACTAAACTAACTAAATATACTGTTTACCATTTTTCATGCTCTTTAAACCCATGGAAACCAGACAACCATGTTCCTTAGTAAATGTTCAACTTGTGCATTACATGGTCTATATGAAGAACAGGACGAACGCTGAACCATCTGTGATCTATAGCTCCACAATAAAGCCTTTAGCTGCAGGTTTAAATGGTGAAGAGGAGCCTTCTCATCATTACAACATAAGGTTTAGGCTGGGACATCTCTTTATTCTACTGGCCCACCATTACACACACGCATTTGTTTAACTGGACAAGTAGACACATGCACAGCTGCTCCCACTGCCCTTTGTCCCACCACAGAACCACCATTAAAGCAACACACACAACTCTAATGACATGGGCTGCCCTTCCACGGCCAGGGGTCAGCCAGTGGACCAAGGTGTGTCCCCATATTAGCGTGTTTGCAAAGTCTGGTATGCATTTGTCATGTTGTGCTACCAAATGGGGCTTTAGTTGTGGCTTTGCCTGTGAACCTCAACAAAGGATTCAGTGTCTGGTTGGTATTGATTAGGTTAAAGTTCCCTGCTGTGTTGTGTTTGGGTCCTCCCTGATCACCCCACCTTTTGTGATTGTAGGTCGTAGTAGACTGGTAGGTCATTAGCTATATTAAAGACTGTTAGTGACCTTACTCTGGCCCACCAAGTGACCTTTCCTGAGGGAAACTGCTAACTTGAAATAGATTAGGTGAGGGTTCAAATTTCACATAAACAAAGAAATATTGACACATTTCTTTGCAACTAATCTAATATAGATTTATTAAAGTTCCAATTCAATTTAATGAAAAGTTTGCATTCAAGCAATGTGCCATATTTATTTCATCTACCTTTATTTGCACTTGTGGAAATTTAGTTAAAGGTCCTATATTATGCAAAATTGACTCTTTAAACCATGTTACAATGCTGTTACCACCTCAAAAACATACCTTCAGATACATTTGAATTTACTTTATTATTAGTCTGTCGGACATCTCCAAAGCTCAGAATGCTCTGTTTCACGTTGTGATTTCATGTACTGGTAGTTTTCAAGTTAACAGCTACCTTTTATCTTTAGGTTAGTAGTGTTTTAAAACACAGTGGAGCACTTCCTATGTTACCACATGACAGTGTTTTCTGTTTGAGACAAGAATTCAGCCTAAATATGCCGGGGAAAAGCCTACATATACAGGGTTTGTGTATTAAACGTGTGAATGAAAGAAAACACCACACGGTATGTTTTTGATTAGGAAAAACATTATAACATAATGTTAGTATAATAGTGTAATATAGTGTAATATGGACCTTTTAAGATGTGAAGTGAGTGTGAGTCATTTATTGTATTTTATGATATTAGTATGTCATATTTTTAAAGCAATATATGGCTCTTCAAAGTTTGTGATGGTGACAGGCCTATGCATGTTTACTTCTAGGTGAGATGAACACCAAAGCAGCATGTTTCAAAGACCTCCGCGTGCAGGTGAACACGTCCTACTGCAACCCAAGGACTAAACCAGCTACTGGACATGTGCCCTGCAACACCCAGCCCTGTCCACCCAGGTTAGACTCATAGCATCTCACCGTATTCACTTTCAAACGTTTATGCTGTCAAACTAATACTCTGTGATGGGATTAGGATTTAGACTATCACTATTTATATACATCATTGCTTAATTGCGGTAATGTGGAGCATGTAAAATACTACAAATGGCTTGGTCATTATATGCTATCATGCAGACATATCGTCATACATTTTGGAAAGCAACAGATTTTACATTCTTGGCCATCATTATCTCTTTTATGTTTGCAATTTCCCATATTTTTCCACTATTCTGTCTCTACCCACAAAATGTTCTTCTGACATGCAGTTTTATAAAATGCTTTTTATTGGTTGAGTCAACTCCTTCAAACTTCCCACACTATCACCTTATAATAGTCAATGAAGGTTGTCAGGTATTACTGACTGTAGTCTCCTTAATTTTTTCAGTCCAGAAAACCTGTACATGACATGAGTTTTTCCTCTTAAAAAAATAACTCTTTGACCAATATTTCAGAAAAGGGAAAACATGATTGAATATTTTGTTTGTGTTTTGAGCTCAGTGCTTCACCAGCTGTCAGCACTGCTTAGCTTCTGTGTTTGTTTAAAATCGCAGGCCAACGAGCTAATTTTTTTCACTTATAACATCACTTTGGAGCATTCAAGAGCCACAAGAGATACTATTTAAAAAATGAGCAATGGAAAACTAATCAATTTGAAACCAGACTCACAGTTTGGCAATAAACTCTGTCCAGATCCAGATTGTAGTGGACAAACGTTACTTTATGATGTATGGCCAGGCCAAACAGAAGGAGGTAAGCATACATGGGAGACTGATAATGACTTGGTGGTTTTCGGGTGGGGTCTGATGACTGTCTCTGCCCCTGGCGAAGGCATAGGGTCAAACATGGCAGCATCACTGGGCGGAGTGTTCTTGTTGACAGGCAGGACGTGTGCAGACATACTCTAATGGGTTTACACCATAGGGAAATGTCCCCTCCCATGTCCGTGCTGCTCTGGACACTGTCTTTTAGAGTAAAACTGAGGCCAGGAAAATGTCAGTGACTTTTAGAGATAAGACTGGAGGTAATGAGATGGAAGATTAAGATAACAACCAAACCCCTTGACGTTTGTTTAGACAGCAGTTAACAGGGCTACATATTGCATACATATAAATAGGATCTTAAAGCTGCGCAATGCAACTTTGTTGGAGATTGTTTTTCTAGAAAATTACATTATGTAGCTTTAACTAATTTAGATCAACAAATCACAACCACAATTAAAATTTGATTGCAGTGCGGAGTGACTGCAGTGATTTACATACTGATTGAGTAGATTACCTGTATTATTTACCTAGCATTGGGGTCAGCACACAGCTATTGCAATTGCAAAAATTAATTTATGAACCATAGTGAAATTTTTAAAATATATTTTTGTATATCTTTTTTTTATTTTTGAAATTGTTGAAATATCTTATGTGGTGATGTGATTACAGGTTTATGTTTTTGGAAAGTTAAAATATATTGATTCAGAGTTGGATTAGTTCTTCTTTGAGGCGTCATGCCCTTTGTGCTTCTTTTCCGTGTTTTCATGTGTCTGCTCTCAGTTATATTTTAAAATATCTGCCAGAAATTTGCAAATGATGGTGTGATTAATGAGGAGAGAGGGCTTGGCTGCAATGCTGCAATCATCTGGGCTGTGCTGAAAGCTGGTGTCCTGAAAATAACATGTAGTGTAATGGTAAATGTTAAAGAGCTGGATGCAGTGGTGAGCTGAACACTGAATGTCAAATTCCTTGAATTATATGTTTTATGGGATTTTCCAGTTTTTGAAGAAAACACTCACAATGAGAGCAGCACTGAGAGCATTTCATGATTCCTAGATACATTTTAAAAGATCTATTTGGTATATTAAACATTCATTAACGTACATATAGATCAGTAGAAATTACAGGCTTTTGTGGGATCAGGAAATGCATTGGTTTATGTAAGATCTAGATTAGATAAACAGTGAAACTGTAGGAGACATCAAAGAAGAAGAGGGAAACACTTACTCACAGACGACAGCTTTACCACTACAACACAAACAATAGCAGCTTTATGTCCGTGTTTACAGTGTGTGATCGCAGTATCATTATGTGGCAAGCACACACTGACTGTATCCTTCTGTAAGGCCCAGACTCCACTTATGTGCTTACTCATGTCTTGGGGAGATGTAGGTAGAGCAGATGGATCTTCCCACCAGCACATACCACGAGTCAGCATTTTTCTTTCTCTGTCTGTACTGTTTCCTCTTTTCCCGCTGATTTGTCTGTCATAATGTCATTAGGTGCTCTCCCCAGTCCCACCTCTCACCAGCCCGTCTTGGATCAAAAGCTGTTTGTATTACCTGAATGACCGCAGGCTGTAAAGATCTCCTTTGTGATCTGCATATCTGTGGTCTGTGGTGTGCAAAAAGGCACAGCTGTACAAAAAGACACAAACCATGATAAGTAAAAGATGGAGAAAACATTACATTTATATTGCTCTTTAATATGTTTTGATCATAGTGATTATGGCTGTTTACCAGTACACAGAATTAAGAGTAATCTTGCAATTTGTGACACAATGAAACACAAAATATGGAATGTTGAGCTACAAAAAACAGATAGTCTGTTTCATATCCATCTAACAATGCTTGCCATGTAAAGTCCAACAGATCTTATTACACTACCCGCCTCAAGGTAATGTTTATCTTCTCTCTCCTTTAGTTTGTTTTGGAGTCTCTTTGGTAAATTTTAGCCCTGTTTTCAAACATGAGAACACACCAACCACTTCATAAGTCCGCAGTCTATGAGCCTGTAGCCCCTAATGGACTGCCATTGTTTAGAGAGTTGAGTAGAAGCAGTGATAATTGTGGCTGTAAAGTCATCTGAAAACTGTTTACACTCTTGTCTCAGGCAGAATCAGCCTCATTATCAGCAGCAGCTGCTGCTTAGCTTTGTTTAGTGAGTGCTCTGGATGCTCACTACAAACACAATGGACTTTTACGAAACTACACTTCTTTCTTTTACTAAATACTGAAGTCATTTTTTGATTTTTTTCTGTATTCATTTTGTGTATTTTGTAAATCTTTAAATCAGCAGTCTTAGCGATAGCATTATAATGCAGAGTTATAGTTATAGTTGTATAGAAATATTTGAAGTAGTTGTAGTCCTTTTATTAAAATGGTTAAATGTCATATATTAGACTCAGACTTAGACAGATTTTATTGATCAACAAAGGATAATGAATTGGACACCATAGCTCACACATCACAATATAGTATAATAACAAAGATCAAAAAATATAAATGGTAATAATAAATTCCAAAAAATAAGTTAGAGACTGGTGTAAGGCACAATTATATAAATGTATATGTACAAGTAGAAATAAAATGTAGAAATATAGTCATACAAATATATCTCACTAATATACAAGCGGTCATAAGGAGAAACATTGCATAGATGAAATAATGATTGACAGGACCTAAGAGTCATTATTATTTTGGTTGTGTGATAGTATTTCAGGTACTTTTATTTATTAAAATGGTTCATAGTCATATTTAGTTTCAGTCATATTCATATTCAGTCATCTAGTCATATTCAAGAGCAGAGTCTTAGTGCCCTAATTTAATCTTTCTCAATAACACATACCGTACATATAAAATTACATGAAATGGCTTGAAGGCCTATGCATACATTGCTATATATGGTCCCATCAGGCCAAAGTGTACCTCTTCCACCACTTGCTTGATATAAATATTTTTCACTAGCCCACATCTGTGTGCATATGTTTAATTTTCATTCCATCACTAACACATATATCTTGGTGTTTACAGGCTTTTTCTAATGTATAAACTGTTAGCTGAGACCTGCTACATGAAGGTCACCAAAACACACATTCAAAGCTAAACTTGCATTGCTGTGTTTAACAATCTATCCTTAACTAGACTATTCTGAGCCATGCACATCTTTCATTTTGCTGTGTCGGCTTTAAGCCAGCCTGGCATTGACATTACCTCATGGAAAAAGGTTTCTATTGGCAACTCGCATTAAGAGCATGATATCATCTTGTCTTTGAAGCATCTACTGATGTATAAAAGAACCCAGGCATGAATTTAAAACATGCATAAAAAGTTACACGCGACAGTCCCATAAACAGTGGTCAGAGGTTATTTTGTGCACTGGTGCCTCTGGTCAGCAGTGTTAATACTACTATGCTACTAGATATGACTTTAAGTTCACAGGACATCTGATCTGTGCTGCTTCTGAAAGCGTGAGGCTCATCCATAAACACCCACCACAAGTAGCCATGGTCATTGTAAAAACAGGAGTTATATGCCAAGCACATTATATTTTTGCATTTACTCTTAATATTTTGCCACTGTTAACCATTTCCTTTTCACACTTTGCTTTGGTATTTGTTTATTGGTTACACTGGTTTTGAGTCATAAAAGTCTTTAACTTCCCTCCAGCTGTGAGGGAACTGGTGGCTGCTCTTGTTAGGCTTTACAAGTGAACATAAACAGTGCATCAAAAATGTGCACTCTTTCTAACTTCCATTTTGCTCTGATGAGACTTGTGTATCTTCTTGGTGACAAGCCATAACTCACAACCAGATGGAGTATCTCTGTGTGGATTATGCTGTGCCTTTACTTCACATTTTAGAGCTTCTTTACATTCCAAGACAGCCTTTTCCCATGCAAACTGCAAACATGACTATATGAAAACATGGTCTAAAACTTGTAAGCAGGTTTTAAGTGGCCCGTGGGTTATAAGAAGAGCATGTTTCCGAACTTGAAGTTTTGACTAACTAACATGGTATGGAAGAGAGGCTTTAAGAAAAAGGAAAATAAGGGTCTTAAGAATAATCCTTTTTAGAATATAGTCTTACCACAAGTTTCAATAAGAAATATTTGGTTACAACTGTGAGTATTAACCTGACAATATTCACAGTTGCAACCAGGTATGGTTATTAACTTTTCCTAAAAATATTATACATTGTTTAACCAATATATTATTAATGTATTTTGGATATAATCTACTAGACCTATATCTGTAAACAAAAGTACTGATTATAACAAAGCACTATGGTGACGTTATCAACCGAATGTCTGGATAGACTGTCCAGAACAGCTCCTATGAACACTTGTGCCAGTAAAGTGTGGAAGATCACCTCAATATGTTGGGTGTGGGACAAGGGTAAATGCTCTGCTTTTCTATCAACAATGTGGGTTCTTGGCATCCTAAATCTCCCCATTACACTTGATCCAGTCATCATTCTTATTGTGTTCATAATAATGAAGGGCTAACTAAACATATGTCCCACTAGGGGTCTTTAAATGGCCATCATACTACCACAAGTTTGCTTGTGTTGACTCCGTTCTTGTTTTCTGTGATTGCAGCTGGTCTTTGGGAGAGTGGGGGGAGTGCAGTAGGAGCTGTGGAGGTGGGGAGCAGACACGGCAGGTTCAATGTGCTCAGAAAACCAGCACTACCAACATGGACCCTGTGCCAGATCCACAGTGTCCTCAGCCAGCTCCAGACAGGAGGCAGAGCTGTAACTCACAGAGCTGTCCTCCTGCATGGTCCACTGGGCCCTGGTCTGAGGTATGTCTAACTCACTCTAACTCTACTGAGAGCTCTTGATAATTGTTCAAGGCATAACCAAAAAGAGAAGTTTTAGCTAATTGTGTGTGTCTTGTAGTATTTAGAGTGTCATATCATTCTAGGGGAGTAATAAACTTTATATGTGCCCACTAAGACCATTTATATTTTATTGTCATTACATGTCCGATGCATTATATGCATACAAGACTACTACCATTAATTACTACTATTTAGCATTTTATTTCAAGCGTTCTGAACATGTTTGCCAGCTCATGTTGTTACAATTATAATCTATACATTATAATAACCATATTTCTTTTTGGATTATTTAAGTAACACAATGCACCATCATTACAATGATTTATCTTTTCAGTGTTCTCGTAAATGTGGCAATGGTCTGAGGAAGAGGACAGTGCTGTGTTCCAGTACTAATCCAGACTCCCAGGCCCACACAGTGTCTGACAGTCTGTGTTTCAGCCTTCCTAAGCCCACCACCCAAGAAACATGTTTCATCAAACGCTGCCCAAAACAGCGCAAAGTCCAGTGGTTCGTCTCTACATGGCAACAGGTCACTTAAATGCATGAGATTAAGACTCTCCATAATTCACTTCAATAAACTGCAAACATCTTATATGTTTTGTTCTTACAGTGTTCAGTTACATGTGGTCGAGGTGTTCAGACTCGCTTCATCAAGTGTGCAGAAAAGGTGGGTATTAGTGTTTTTGTTTTTTTTTTGTTTGTTTGGGTTTTTTTTGTTTTTTTGTCTGTTGTGTGTGATCATCATTCTTGACATAACTATTGTGGTCCAGGACACTGCAGGAAAATACAGAGAACTCGCAACCAAGAAATGCCAGCATGTCCCAAAGCCAACAGTAGACTTACAGAGAGCTTGCATTTTGGCTGAATGTTCAGTGCGCACAACCCCATCACTCTATAGATGGAAAAGCCACCACCATCACACCTCCCCTCCTCAGCCTGTCCCTGTCCCTGCTCCTGCATACAGACCAGAGTGGCATCCATCTGCCTGGTCTCAAGTATGTTTTAGCTCATCTGCCATTGCACACAAAGAGATTTTATGTTAATTATTTATGTTAATTTTGTGTTCATTCACAGTGCACAGTGACATGTGGAGGGGGAGTGCAGCTCAGGTCAGTCCAATGCCTTGCCCAGGGAAAATCCTCCACTGGTTGTTCTGTTCTTTCAAAACCTTTGATATCTCAAGCCTGCAACACCAACTTCTGTCCTCAACTGGAGAAAAAAGGTATGAATGTATGTATACAATGTGCAAAGTTTGAATGGTGATCTGTTTGTCTAATTGGTTACTTTAGCGAAAAATACTTGGGAAAGTTTTTCTCAACCAAGAAAAGTGTTTGTTATTCATAATTTTTAATCATCTTGACTAAACAGTGCCTAAAATTGTTTCTCTCCGCAGACATGGGGTGCAGGGATTACTTCAACTGGTGTTACCTCGTGCCTCAACATGGAGTCTGCAACCACAAATTCTACGGCAAGCAGTGCTGCCAGTCATGCTCCAATTCTAACCTATAATCTTTCACAATCCTTGTCAGAATGTGATACTGACTGACATGAGTGACATATTCTAAGGCTTGAAAGACATTTTAGCCTTAAACCTGAGGCCAGCACTGATCCAAAAGACAATGGACGCGACCTTGCCTTTGATGCCGGACATCTGGATAGAACACAGAATGAAGAGGGTGCAGACACAATTCAAATACTGGCATAAATGGGACTGATGTGCACGTGACATTTAGACAAATCCCAGTTTGGTTTATGTTTTAGGGCTGTACCTGATGTTCTAGTCAAGACCAAATATGTCATCATTGTAATGCATAGAATGAAATGCACATATAATGAGAAGGGATTTTCCAAGTGAATGAAATGGAAATAATAGGACGCTAATTCCATTTCTGGACAACATAAAATGCACTGTTGTGACAAAGGATTCAAAGAAGTGCATGTGAAAAAATGTGAGATGTAGAAAAGACTGATTATCAGACTTCATGGTGCTTGTATTGTGTTGTATGTGTTATATGTATGTGTGAAATTAATGTGAAATCAACATTTCAGGAAGAACCGTCTCATGAATTGTGTGACTTATGTACAGTATTTTTTTTATTTATTGGCTTTGAAATACAACTGTTATGTTACACAGTATGAATGCCTTTTCTTACTCCAAATGTTATGTTTTGTATTTGATGTACCTGTACAACATGTTTCAGTTTAAAATGCACATAGACTGGTTAACATGAAAACCAACTAAAGCAATTTGTAAGATGCTGCAGTTTGAAAGAGACCAGGGATTCATTCAAGCAAAGGTGTAATTAGCTATTGAAATCCATTTTATTCACATCATGGAACCACAGATCAAGTACCTACTGGTAAATTTTACAGGCCCACCTTTATATTACCATTGTGTATGTTTAGGAATAATAAAATCTTCACATTTAAACCTTTTGCAGTTTACTAAATGATTGTTCTTTTTGACTTTTTTGTGTTTCTTCTGAAATAATGAATTCATTATTCATTCTGAAAGAACAAATGCTCCCAATTTTGCTCTTTGCACATAACATTGCATAACATAGCAACAGTTAAACTACATGCATGTCATACTAATATTCAGTTATATTTAGCCTACTTTAGCAACTTTTTTAGGAAAATTGTAGTTCTGTTCTCATACACCATACTTTTATTCCAAATTAAATCAAATTTAGCACCACTACACACTGCTCTTGCTTTGGTAAATGTTTTTGTTATGCTTACCATTGAAAATAAGTGGAGAAGTAACAAAAACTTTATGCGGATTACTTTAAATTTTGTGGGGTTCTTTTTTTTTTTTTTTTTTTTTTTATTTGCATGGCTTCAGATAGGATTTTGTTTTGATCACTATTGTGATTGATTTTCTTTTTGAAAATACAAGATTTAAGCATTTCAATGTCTTTGTCCTGTCAATAAATTAGATCTTAAATCTAGCTATAGCTACTCATAACATTTACTAGAAATGTGTTTTTTCCAAATACTTTTTAACTGCCAGGAACCTGCTATTTCAACACCTTTATGGCTTATAGAACAGAGAAGTAATTTTTCAACACGTTAAGGAGATACACAAATGCCCCTCAAAAAATCACCATAATCCTCTGCCATTGCTTTGTTGCCCTTGGAGAACACATTGGTAGAGTTTAGTAAACAGGCCACCACAGGCTATAGTGAGGATGATGGAGAGTGTGAGGGAGCCAGGGTGGAAAGGAAGCAATGAATGCAGACAGAAAATGTTTTTGTCAGGTCAGTGTCAGTTACCTTGGCTATATGTAGCCTATTAAATTATTTTTTCATTATTATTTAGTATTACTCTTAATATAATCGTATATAGGCATTGGCTGATGCAAAACAAAAGCCCTGTGTGATAAGTGAAGATGAGAACACTTCCTGCAACATTCAAGAGTCTGGGGGACTGTCAAAGACAAGAAGGTGTCACTGTAATGGCCCCTCACCTGAACTGTACACAACTATGTTATCTTGAACCAAATCAGTTTCAAAGGACATGGGTCTTTCAGCCTTCAGGCTATAGTCAGATATAATCTCTCCATCAGAGTGCATCTACATGCCATGTACAACCTTTATGCAACAAAGATGTAAAATCAGTCCTGTAGCCTACTTCTGGTTAGGACAATTAAAAAACTCATATTGTAAAATGTACACTTGCCAGCCATTGAATGATCTAAGCAATTAGGCTTATTTTAGTGGTAATTTAAGTACAGTGCAACCAAAACAAAACTAAACAAACACTGAGATAAACTTAGAATTAGACTTAGACAATGCAAAGAAACCATCAAGTCTGCCATTGATGATAATGTGACCTGATAGGCGCATGCATTTATATTATGTTATGTGTTGCTTTGAGCCTAAAAGTATATCGACCAATGACAGCTGGGCAGTTTTTTGTACAACAGCGCCACCTTTTGCCGAATATGTAAATTTGTTTTACATTTTTTTCCCCTTCCTACTGGCACGCCGACTACTGATAAAACGCAGAGAGAAATTTATGTATTCAAACCAACTTTTTGACATTCAAACTACAAGAGCATTGAGCAAAAGAAAAAAGAAGACAAAAACTAGTTCCCTGACCGGGAATCGAACCCGGGCCGCGGCGGTGAGAGCGCCGAATCCTAACCACTAGACCACCAGGGAAAGTTACGCATTGACTCAAACATGCAGAAATTAAACTTTTATACAAACTGTTATGGTGAAAAAAAACCATTCAGTCTATGGTAAAAAAAAAAAAAAAAACTAAGCCAAACTAAGAAAAAAACCTATGATTTATCTATCTAATCTATCTGTGTCTGTGTGTGTGTGTGTGTGTGTGTGTGTGTGTGTGTGTGTGTGTGTGTGTGTGTGTGTGTGCGTGCGTGCGTGCGTGCGTGCGTGCGTGCGTGCGTGATGCCATGATGCAGCGAGCAAACGCCTTCATGTAAAGAAGTGCTGTAAATAACTGCGCCAGATGAGAAACACTATACTAACATTCTGCACTTCATAAAACATGTAAAATATAATATTATCAATATCAGAATTTCACAAAAAATTATGAAAACTTCAATGCTAGTTGTTTCTTTATAATTTCTTCTTGTGAAAGCAAGAAAGAGTTGACAGGCATCTTTGAGACACCATTTCCAGGGTCCTTTATCGGGTCCTCGGTAAACGTGGGATTCGCGAAAAATGTGATGTTTTGATCTGAGCAGTCTGGAATTTACACATCATATAATTTGTTCTGTAATTATCTAGTGGATTTTGTTTCTTTTGAATTTTATTACCATGATGCCAGGGGACAACCAATCCAAAATGGTGGCAATCGCAGCGGATGCAACGGTTGGAAACTGTCAAAACTGCTCTGTCCTGCACCAGGTCTGAATCAGTACAATTATTGCTACAGTTATCAAGTTATATTTACCTAACTTATTTGTTGTTTTAATGTGTCTTTTAGCATACCAGGGTGCTGCATATTTCGACTCCTACAACTCCTGTAATATTAAACAAACTTTTTTTATATATATTTTAGAGCCTTAACGAGTATGTATCGTCCTTTCTGGCACTGAAACAAAAGATCACCATCACCGAGTAAGTGGTTAACGTTAACTGTTACAATGTTTAACTTGTTACAATAAAAAAAAGTATGATATAAATGACTGATTTAGCTAATTACAATCTGTACATAAATGGCATTGCTATAACTGCATTTTCCAAAGCTCCCGAAAGGTGGCGAATTGTACGTAATTTTGCAATAACAACTTTAACGCACGTCTACTGTGTTTTTATAATACTAGTGATACCTTGAGACTTCAACAACAAATCAAGGAACTGCAAGGTAGACTGGCATCTCTTGAAAAAAAGACTGCAGATTATGAATCCCTTCAAGTTGAGTTGCAAGAGAAAAGGGTATGACTGTGTTCAGAAGAAGTAACGTTATGGCACAAATTCTGAATGCCCAGACATCGTAATTCAACATCTTGTTTGTAATTTCAGGATGCCTTGAAAGTTTATGAACAGATGCCTGAAGAGATGGAAAAAGTTAAACAGGAAAATGCAGAGATTAACTCAGAGTAAGATACCTGTAATTATTTCCCCCATGATTAATATGTTATTATCAATCTATTACTGTGTATTTTATGGTCTTTGTGTACGTTTTATAGGAATGAGAAGCTTAAGAGTGAAATAAAAAACGTTAAGGGTAAGATTCTGATTTATTTTCGGTCTCCGTGATATGCTTTCTTATTTTAATATTGCAAAGCAGGTAATAAGTTTATTTAATAATACTTTTTTTTTTGTTTATTTTTGTTTTTTCAGAATTTATAGAAGCAAGGACTCTTGAAAATGCTCAACTCAGGCGGGAAAAGGCTGAAGTTGAAAACAGTTTGCTAAATACACAGGTGAATTACCTATTTTTAACTTGTTAAATATATGGTTGGTCAGTTATTATTATTATTATTATTACTGTGTTTGCTTCAGGCATCATTGAAGAAAGTCCAAGTTCAAGCAGATAAAGTTGAACAACTAATAAAAGACAATGCTGAGACCATGAGCGTGTAAGTAGTCACCACATATACATCGAATGTTTTAAATCCATTGTCTTTGTTCGGTTATACTACATTTGAAATAGTGTTTAATATGTATCAACTAATAATTTGATATCATCTGCAGTAAAGAAAACCTTGAAATAAAAGTGAAACAACTTGAAGGTTGGTGCTTTATTTTAAATATGATGAAGCAAATTGTTTTTTCATGACCTGCGATGACTTTAAATGTGTGTCCTGTTTTTAGATTCTGTTTTCAAACAAAATAACTGTATAAGCCAACTATCACAAGACAAACGTCTGCTTGAGCAAAATATTAATGATTTACAGGTACAGTGTTTTGTTTTTTTTCTTGACTGATGTTTTTAACTGTTTTGATTTTTTTTTAAATGTGTCAATGTGTCCACAGAAAAGAATATTAAAGCTTGAAAGAGAAAGGAGTAAAGGTAAGAAAATTATCACTAAAACAAATACATTTAAATGTGTATGTGCCACTTACAGTGTGAATCTTCTATATCTGCAGAATATAAGAACTCATACACTCAAGCAAATGTGCCAGAGGAGCCTAAAGTTGACAAAGGTACGCAACTCACTTTGTCAAGTTCAACTTGTTAATGTTGTTATTGTTTTTTCCTCTGTAATTTAAACATTTGCAAAAACTTTGTATTTAGAAAAATTCCGTGTACTTCTAAACAATTTGTGGGCCTGTGTGGAACCAGGTCAAAACTTGGACATCACTGGTGAGTATGCAGTCATGATGTATCCTATTGTTATTCTATTATTCAATACTAAAGCAGTTCAAATGAATCTTCAGTTATCTTATATATATATTTTTCAGGGTCTCTATGCAGACGTTTGCCCTCTTCTCCACAACACAATAAACCATTTAGTCAATCAAGCTGCCCCACTCACTCTCTTAAAAAACAAGTCATCCCCTCTCCTGACAAAGCCAAATACACAAAGTTAAAAACATCTCCTTACTTACACAGAGTAAGTGATCGACAAGAATGTCCACCATGCACAAATACCAGGCCGCAGACATCAAAAACACAAGAGAGGTCACCAAGAAAACAAAAATCTGAAGAGTTGCCTGTGAACAGCAGTATATCATTAGAAGAGATAATGGAATTATTTAAACCTTTGTTTCCTTGTTTATCTCCAATACCAGATATGGTAAGAATACACTCTGTATGCTGAGAATATTTTATTGCATAATGATAATTTGGATTCTTATAATTATGATGTATGTTTACTAAAGTTATATATAATTGTTGGATTGTTCTTGCATATCAGGATACATCAGTGGAGCCTATGGATGTGACCGATGGAAAGGATTTAGATGACTCTAAACCATCAGTTCCACTTAAGCAAGAGTTTCCCTTTCCAGATTCACCAACGTCATCAATTAACAAATGCCCTATTCTAGAGGAAACATTTGAAGATGTGGAATTACCTCTGGTCGATGAATTATCCGAGGTCGATGCATTATCCGAGGTTGATGAATTATCCGAGGTCGATGAATTATTCGAGGTCGATGCAGTCGAAGCACAAGAAAATGAAGCCGCAAGCAACACTGAAGAAATGTTGCAGCAGAGTAAAGCCACTGTAACAGGATCAGCCACCCTTTCCTCTCCCAATCCATATTCTTTTAATGTTGGAGTTGAGAACAATATTTCAGATAAGGACATGCCAGTAAGCAACAGTGACTCAGAGAAAACAATAATCTCTGAACACGCTGAGTTGGAAGACATGCTGGATACTTCAGATATGACTTCTTTTGATAATGAAGAAAAAACTTTGAAAGAAGACACTTTGCCAGTCCCTGAAGAATGCTCAGATGGACCACTAGGCAATTCCACTGAGTGCAATTCTTCTAGTCAAGATTTGGAGACAGAAACTGATATTAATGTCACTGCCACAGCAGACAGTGTTTCAAATATAAATGTAGAAGTGGAGAATGAAGACACATCTACATGTTTAAATAACGAGGACCACTTCCCAGCATCTGGTGATGCTAAGCTGCCACAAGATAACTCTGGTGCAGGACCTCAGGATAATGTTGAAAATAATGGATCAAACAAAGACAAAGCAGAAGATCTCTGTTTAGAGGAAGGAACAGTGGATCAAACAGTTTCTCAAATAGAAACTGATACATCTACAAATCTTCAAGAACCTCATAATGTCACCACTCTTACTCCTCTCACTTCAAATGATGACCCAAAATCAGAGAGCCACGAAGAAACAGGTGATCAAAGCTGTTCTGTTGTGAAAGAAAATAACACTATAAATTCGGAATGTTTGAAAACCTCATGTAGTCTTTGTGAGCAGCTCGCACCCTCATGTTTTGCACCCGCCTCAAAACTGCAGAAGGTCAAAAACAAACCTAAAACCATAAAAGCTGATGTCAGTACAATTTGCAATGTAGAAACCCCATCAATCCCTAATAAAGATGGACATGAAAAAAATGGTTCTGCCAAAAATGAACATAAATCATTAACCAAAATTCAAGCTACAGATGTTATCAGTAAAGAAATACCTCAGAATGTAGCAGCACAATCTCTACCACCTCCAGCATTTATTGGCCAAGTTCTTACTGAAATGGGCCCTCCGCTACCTCCTGTCCTGACCCCTGTTACCACACCTCCCAAGACAAGTAAACAACCAAGAAATGCCATAGGGAAATTGTCTTTCCCTTCACCCATGGACACTTCTAACTCCAGCTCTAACACTCCAGTTGAAGCTTGCATTACTCCTGATGGGCAAACATGTGTTAACAGTCCACTTCGCCAAAATGTCCCCTCATCCCCTCTTCAGTTTGGTTCAGCCACACCAAAACATGCTGTTCCTGTTCCAGGTCGTCTGCCATCAGCCGCAGTGAGCTCCTCCCCCTCTGCTTCCTGTAGTCCATCTCAGGATAACTCCATGAGGATTCTTGATACAATGTACCCAGAGATGTCTGCACGAGCACGAACTTTAAGTATACTGAAAGGCAATGTCAATCTAAATCTTTGCTCACCAGACAGTGGGACATTACCAATACCAGCAGAAAATCACTCAAGCTTTAAAACCATAAACTCTTCATCAACAGCCTTCACCAAAACTGAGAGCAGAGGGGCGAAAAGGGCTTTGAATTTACCACATCTTAAAAACAAAATTCTTCGACTAGATAGCCCTGTAACAACTCTTTGTTCTAAACAGCTGCCCTCAAATAATGACAAAGTCACATTGTTAGAACAGGATAAGCATGAAACATCCAGTGAAGAAGGGACTTCACCTCCACAGACAAAGGCTTTGTTACAGAAACTTGAAAACCAGTGTTTTGATCTGCTGCCTGTGGTTCAAAGCCACTTATTTGTTGGAAATCTGCCTAAGAAACCAGTTCTAAGAGATCAAGAGAAAGAAGTCATATCTGTGATATGTACCAGCAATACGGTAAGCGTGTTTTATTTTTCAGAATAAGCTATAAAACTATTTGTGCATGGCAGTCAACAATGCAATACAAATGTTCTCCAAATTGTACTTTACTAGCCCCCAGCAGATATTATGATGCCAGCCATTGAGCAGGAAATAAAAATGATGCACAGAAATCCACAGCTCAACACGAATCACCTTCAAGCCTTATGCAGAGTTTACATCGGCATTTGTCGCCAGAGTAAAGACTGGGAAAGGGCCCAAATCTTCGCTTACAATATTCTCTTTGCAGGTTTGTATATTCCACTGCATACACTAGGACAATGAGTCTTGAGTCACCTAATTAGAAAAAAAATATTAAGTGTGTTTTTGTATTTTTTTCCCTGTGATTTTTTTTTAGACTATCCAGATGCAGCCAAAATGATTTTATTCATGGTTTCCACGTGGCCCAGTGTTTTCTCATACAATAGTTTGTTGTGTCAGGCAATACATGCAGTCACCAAATTTAAAACACCCAATGCGCTTCTGAAATGCATGTCTGCCTATCTTGGCTGGGATAAGGTAAGATTTTGTGTAAACTAATTGACAAACAAAAAAATGTTTAACATGGTTATTCTCCTCTTTGCAGAAACCTCCATGTGACATTGACACAGTAATTTCACAAACTCTGTCTGAGATCCGGTCTGGATCAATGCTGTCATTTGTAGAACATGATAGATATGGCATTGACCTGGGGCCGGATGCTTGGCAACACATTTTTACTGTTCAGCTCCTGTGTACAAACAAAGATTGGAAATGGACTTATGAAAATGTTTTGAGGTTTGCATATAATGACACTTAATTTAATAAACACCATACAATAAAACCAAGATAAATTCTTAATGTTGATTTGGTTGACAGTAAAGAGTTGTGGCCCCTGATGAACAATTGGGTGACGCAGTCCAGAAACCAGCAAATGCCCATTTCTGACATTACAGTTGCCACTGTCCTTAGACTCATTGGTATGTCTTTTTAAAATCTTTATTAAGTTGTACTTGCATATGTTAGGTGGTATGTGATTTATTTTTATTATTTTTCTTGTCTTCTAAACAGGACGACTTGGTCAGATTGGAATCAAACAGAAATGTGTTTCTTCTGTGATGACTGTTGCTAACGTCATCAACACGTTTGGAAGGCATGGGAAGTCTGAAGGTAGGACATATTTCAACTTAAAAATAAGTTGATTGATCCAGTGATCTAAACAAATATGCTTTAACATACCTAATATAATTTACAGGTGTTCCTTGGGAGGTTCAGTTAGCTGCAGTCTACTGCATTTATGACTTGTCTCCTTGCAATCCCAAACATGCCCTTGAAGCCCTCGCTGGGTGGAGAGAACAAATATCTCAGAGAGTTCCTCCTGGAATCACCAGCTGCATTAACCAAATGGCTTCAGTGTGTCGACAGGTCAAATCTTGATATCTACAGATGTATACCTGCACTGGTGAAACACTAACATCCAAACAGTTACATTGAGTCTTGTATAAAATTATTATTATTGCACTTTTTTTTTATTTGTGCACCACATTTTTAGATTGTAAAGTAATTTTATCAGTCAATTTACTTGAATATTTCTAGTTTAAACTTTGTATATATAACTTGGATGTGTAAATAGGCTACGTATAATTGTTTTGTAAAGATTAAAAAAGACGTCAAAGAAAAATGTAAAATTCAAGAAATCGTTTATTAAAGGTGTATTTTCTGAAACATCAATTACGTAGCCTGTTTTCAACTATTCTAAAATACACTTTTTAGAAAGGTTTAGACATTTATACATGTGTAAACATTTAGTACATTAAATACATTTTGTAACCAACATTCAGCTATTTATCGACAAATGCCTCATGTCTGGATGATATGACACCTACGGGTGTTTCAAGACAAGACTAGAGAGAAAAAACTCCATTATATAGCATACCTTTCACCCATTGACCGTATTTATTCACTTTCGCTTAACGGGCTTAGCGAGAGCTTTCCGCACAAGATCTTCAAAATAAAAGATAAAAAAACGCACTCGAGAAAATGATGCATGTTTATTCGTCATCTACAATAGAACATGAAAGATGATCGTGAATGGTAGATTTATTCATGAAAACGTAGGTGCGTGTGAGTTAAATACTGTCGTAATTTACTAAAAAATATATTGCTGCGTAGATTTTCCGGTCGGTGTTATGGTTGGTTTGTAAAGTTTGTGACTTGACCAATGTGAAGTCGCTGAGGGGTGTGTTCCAAGATTTAAATCCCTGAGACATGCGCAGAGACCAGTCCGTGCTTTGGGTGCGCCATATTGGCTGGCTTACATGGGGAGTGGAGTTGGACAAGCCGCTTAAAAATCCGAAGCAGTTTCCAGACATGGAGCACGTTAAGGGTAACAAAAAACTACGCTAGCTACGATTGTTTCGTTACCTTGAATACAACGTGCCAAATTTACTTGCCATTGTGTTGTAAGTGGTTGTCTTGTGAAGTCCAATGGATCCCAGGACCTCTTGGTTACAGCAGGAGCATAAGCGTCCTGCCAATCCCCTGTGGATGCACATTTGGGAAAACTCTCAGGGATACGGGGCGAACTCCGGTAACGACAACCACCTTCATCATCAATGCAACATCGTGACTCAAAACGCTTACAACTCCCCGGACTTCAATGGCGAGTATTGCAAAAATGAAACCGCGACTTCGGAAGTAGTATTTGGAAAACTGTCGAAACGAGACAGTAGCGCGGAGCGGGGAAGTGTCCGGAGGAAAGGCTCGTTGTCGCCGTCCTCCTCCTCCCTGGACTCAGAGGCCGAGAGCTCCTCGCCCTCCGGCTCCTCTTTGCAAATAGACAATTTGAACGCTACAGATGATGCCAGTCATTTTTTACACTACGACGAACATGAGCTGAACGAGAACAATCTCAGACGCCCCCCTCCGCTTTTCCATACCGTTCAGCAACACTGTCGCAGCATGCAACAATCTGCCGGCCACACCCCCACCGGGATGAAAAATCAACATGGAAGCAAGCATCATCACCAGTCCCATTCAAACGGCCGCAGGAAGCACTTGAACAGAGCAAACACTTTTCACGGCATCCATCCGCTCCTGACATATGGCTGCAATGGACACCACGGTGATTCCTCCAGTAGCCTGTGGAAAACACGACGTTACAGCCCAGGCATCAATGGGTAAGCATCACTTGCACCAGCAGCACACGTGAAGCACCTTGAGGGCGCCTAAATCAGTCCCAGGTGTAACTAGCTCTTCATTTTGTGTTCTGGTAAGAGCTTTTCAGAGCCTATGTGCCATGTTATGGCACATCTGGGATAACCTTTACCTTGTTGTGATTCTACTTCTGTTTACAGCCTCCATGAAGAAATAATGGACTTTTTCAACTTCATGTCACCACGGCCTGAGGAGGAGGCCATGAGGAGGGATGTTGTCAACAGAATAGAGAGTGTCATCAAAGATTTGTGGCCTTCATCCAAAGTAAGGATACTGCACTGAATTCATCCTGTTAAAGTTGCCATTTCTATATTAAATCTTAAAAAAATTCTCAATGAAATTTCAAAAAGAATCTTTCCTCCACTACAAATTAACCTATGAGTATGTTTTATTGACTGTTTTTTTCAATGTTCTAAAGCCATTCATCCTGTGTGCTGCACATCCAATCAGTTCTGTACACATAAGTCCTCATGTTACATTACATCTGTCACGGATGGATTAACGCACAAAACTGCACTGGTTCTCATAGCATTTATTGTCAGTGTTCCCAGATTATGCTGTAGAAATATTTGACATTCGTGGTAGTGAATTTTTTTTCTTCTTGAGGGTCATGTGTGCTAAAATGTCTCAGGACAAATGGCCATTTTTGTCCTGCTTAAGACTTTCCTTGTCCTCTTTTTATATACATTTTTTTAATTGCAAGTCTCTTCTGTTTGTTTTTTTTTTTTTTGTTATTGGTGTTATCTCTGTTATCTTGTGTATGCCCAAGACAAATTTCCCTCACTAAAGTTTAACTTGACTTGACTTACTCTGCAGGTGGAGATATTTGGCAGCTTTAGCACCGGACTTTATCTTCCAACAAGGTAACTACTGTTGTCTTCTGGAGATTTAGCTGGTATGAAATGTTTGCCGCTTACTACTTCTCTATTAGAAATGATTGTATAATGTGCATAGTAAATTTCTCATTTGAGATTACAAAACTGTTGTTTTTTTTTCTCTAGTGACATTGACCTCGTAGTCTTTGGAAAGTGGGACCACCCCCCACTGCAGGAACTGGAACAAGCCCTGAAACAACACAATGTCGCTGGCCCTTACTCCATCAAGGTTCTTGACAAGGCTTCTGTAAGTTTACATCTTAACACAGTTGTATTTGACTGACTGACATTTACTCAATTGACTAGTTTAATAAAATTATCATGTTAACTTGTGCAATTATACAAAAAGATGCATTAAATATGAATGAACTCACATTAATTACATGTTCTGTTTTGGCCAAACATGCTCTGATTAGTTCTTTAAAAAGGGATGCAGTGATATAACCTGGCTCCGTAAGGAAATAAACTTTATGTTTGAGCACATGTTTTACAAACTACTACAGAACACAGGAAGACTCCAGACTATCTCTAGCATCTTCAACCATAAAGCCATACCAGCAAGCAACTGTGAAGGGCCTTGACCCCAAAAACTGTTTGATCATGTTCATTTACCTGAAACCAATGACCATAGTTTCATTATGTCTAGACTTGTGGACTGCTTTCCAAGATAATGTGCATAAAAGTTGGTTTGCAGTTGGATCAATCAAACTTTAAAGGTATAAAACAATTGAAAGCACTAATTGTAACATTTTTCAGGTTCCAATCATCAAGCTTACTGACCATGAAACTGAGGTGAAAGTCGATATAAGCTTCAATGTTGAGACTGCTGTAAAAGCGGCTCAGTTCATAAAGAGCTATCTTAAAGTAAGTCACAAAATGTAAAATGATTGTTGGCCCTCCATTTCTTTACATGTCATTTTTCTTTCAGAAATACCCAGTTCTTCCACCTCTCATCTTTGTCCTGAAGCAGTTTCTATTGCAAAGGGATCTAAATGAAGTATTCACAGGAGGCATCAGCTCTTACAGCCTGATACTAATGGCCATCAGTTTTCTACAGGTAATGAGCATTTTTGTAACAGAAATCTCAGATGTATTTATATTATGAACGATTACTCTAGTGTCCTTGCATTCTGGGATAGCTAATGTGGTCCTTCTTAAACCAAAATTTGTCAATTTTTGGTCTGCTATGAGATGAGGTGAAGATTTTCTGAACATCAATCTTGATGTTCAGAAAATTTTATTTCTCCATGTTTTCTGACTATTTTATAGCTTCACCCTCGAATTGACACACGGCGTTCTAATATCAATCTGGGAATCCTGCTTATTGAGTTCTTCCAGCTGTATGGTCATGATTTCAACTACATGAAGACTGGTATAAGAGTGAAGAATGGAGGAGCCTATTTGTGCAAGGAAGAAATGCTTAAAACTATGGGCAGTGGGAATCGGCCCTCAATGCTCTGCATTGAAGATCCCGTTCAACCAGGTTGGACGATTATCTATGTAATTTCCTTGCATTTGCAAAAAAATTATATGCACAATGACAAATTTCATAACGTATAGACCTGTCTACAGGAAATGATGTCGGGAGAAGTTCATATGGTGTCCTTCAGGTCAAGCAAGTGTTTGACTTTGCCTACATGGTGTTGACTCATGGAGTTTCTCCATTAGCACGTGCTTATCCAAACAGAGAATATGAAGGGTATGTTTATGAGGGTTGTTAAAATGTATCTTAGTATTTAAGTTAAATGCTGAAGATTTATTTATTTATTTTTAACCCCAGTACCCTGGGACGCATCATCAAGGTCAGCCCTGAAGTACTGGCCTATAGAGAGTGGACAATCAAGAAGTGGGGAGCAAAGCAGTATGTTAAACAAGAGAGCCATGGTAAGCTGACTAGTGTTCAGCACTCAACATCATTTGTTTTTGGAGTTATTAAAATTTAATTTTTCACTTGCAGTTGACATAGAAACTTGTGAGCAGGACCTTGCAAGGCTCATGTTGGTTTCTATGGATGACCAAAGGGACACTTCTTCTCCACTGAGTGCTAACTCCTCATCACCCTCTCCAGTCTTCCTCCCGAGCCCCCATCATTCTTCCTCATCCTCTGCATGTTCTCTGTCCTCTTCAGGAAGTGATGCTGTAAGTGGCATGTTTAACATTGTCTGCTTAAACCAAATTTGACATTGACATTGGAATAATAAAAAAATGTATTGCCTGTTTTAGGAGTCTGATTCGCCTCCAAGCACTACTCCTGCGATCCACCCGCTTCACCCACTCACACTGGCCTCTGTCCACTCAGTTATCCAGATGGCCACGGACCTAAGAACTACACTTCCACCTGGCTTTATTCCTAGTGCACCTCAGGTGGGTTTGTTTTTGTAATATATTTTTGTACATAGATTTTAAAAGCAGATTTTTAGCCTTTGCAAACTTACTTCCATCTGCAGCCCTTATAGGGAAGTGAATGTGTGTGCTTGCGCGTGTGTGCGTGCGTGTGTGCGTGCGTGCGTGCGCGCGCAGACACTTTCTACTTCTTTAATTACTTGTATAGATTCTCACATTTTAGTAGTTCTGAGCAGCTGTCTGTTTGACTCAATGACTCTATTATTTCTAGGTTCAGATGCCCCTTCCTGAAGGCTTGAACATCCCCTCAATATCAGAGTGCCAATTCTACCATGATCCTCCTATTAGTGTGGTGCACCGCCACGCGTCACAAGCTGCACAGATGTCCCCACACACGCTGTCACCTCTGCCCAGCCCCATTCACCAGCTCCAGCACCATCATCTGGGAGGGCACCACTACCCCATTAGATCCAATTCAGTTGGGTCTATTGAGCCACATGCTTTCAGCTTTAAGCACAACCAAGTCAGCAGTCTCCAAGGCCAACATCCACCTCCAGGTAATTTCAGTCCAATCCGTTTTGGTCCACAAACTCACAACTCTGCACCAGTTTTTCGAAACCAGCAGCAACAGTGCAACAAGAACACCTGGCGCCGCAGAAAGAGGGAAAACCTTCAAACACTGAACCAGAGTAGATGAGCCTAAGCTACATGATTCATCCAACATGTTTTTAAAATCTCAACCAAGCCTGCCGTGACACTCATTGATGAGTAGTTGTCATTAGTACATTATTTGAGACAGGCTTTGAAACATCCACAGTGAGTTGCCCAGAAGATTGAAATCAATTCAGGTTGGATCCATCTAAACGAACTGAATTATTTTTGCCTTATCCTTTGCAAAGGACCCACTGAAATGGGCACACACATGTGAATGGGGACAAAATGACAGGATATGGCAACCTAAGGGAAGTTCTTCAAATGAGATGCACACCAGCACTGTCTTAAGTTTATTTATGGTTTTTATGGCCTAGATCAACTCTATGATCATTGCCATGTAGTGTCTCTGGGGAGTTTTATCAAGAGCTATTTGACTTGAAAAGTCTGTAGCATCGTCATGTGCCATAAAATGAACAGGTTCTCAGCCTCATCTTGTCTCATTGATGTTTGTACATCTAACTGGGTCTACAGCAGTTAGGCTCTGAATGGAAAACTTCTGTGTTCTTGTTCCAGCTATGACCATCTGCAAATGGTCTCCTGGGGCGGAAGTAAAGCACTAACTTAAATACCTATGCAGCAAAATGCTGACTTTGGTGTGATGGCACAAAATGGACCTTGTCTCAAGTGCTTAAACTGTGATTACCTGTTTTGAATGTACCAAGTGTTATTTTTGTATGTGGTTGTTCATGTTTTTGTCACAAAGGGAAATTTTCTGTTCACATTGGCACTATTTTGTTTTGTACAAAGTTATTTGCATTCAGGTGCAATAACAACTTTTTATGTTTTTATTTAATTTATTTCACTTTTTACTTTCTGGGGATTTCCCCACTTTTTGTTTTATTTCTAGACATCCAACAGTGCAATAGATGGATTTAAGGGCCTTGAAGGAATGACTGTATATTCAGCTTTTGGACTGAGGGTGGAGCTATTACAGCATGTGTAATGTGCCAAATACCCTCTGGTCCCATCCTCCTGTTTATTTACCACAGTGTTGTCATCACTTGAATTTTTTTTTTTTTTCTTTTTTGCCTGTCCAATATTTTTGCAACACCTGTTAACACCAATACTAATATTGGCGTTTGGATTGATGCCCTCATTGAGGGTGCACTCTTTGAGCTGTGTTTACATGCCATGACATAACAGTTGGTGCTACCTATTACCAGCAAAGTGCTTTTTTGCCTTTTTGTACTTAATTCTGTTAAAGCAACAGCTTGACTGCCTCCTTTTTAAATGACCAAACTATGCCCTTGTCCAGATTTTTTCCTCACTGCCAATTTTACCCCTTGCCCCTTGCTAGCATTTTTTTTTTTTTTTTTTTTTTTTTTTCACACATCTTCCAGGTGTAAAACTCAAGAGGTTGGCCTAATTGCTTTAGCATCATGTCACCTTGAATTTCACTTAAAGCAGACACTTTCAAAGGTCAATATAATTTTGGGGGCTCCCCTGTATTTAAAGTATTTAAGACAAGGTTCCAAAGCTGCACAGTTTGCACAGCAATCCATACAGAACTTGAGCTTGGGACAATACAAAGTTATTCTGGCAAAGATGTAAAATATCAGTCTTTAACGTAAGGTTGACTAATGGCTTGCATTTCAATGTCTGTGGTCATGACTTGATACATTAGCATTATCCTTTTTTCTGTGCAGCTTTTTATCTCCTCATAGAGGATAATTGCTTTTTTTTTTTTTTTTTGCCAAGAACCAAATCCCTTGCTCATATTTGTGTCAATAAGAATGGGTTGTAATGTGTAAATACTTGATATAGATGTGTACCTTGTTTTTTATGTAAAATTTTCTATTTTTTTAATAAACATTTTAAAAGTCTAATCTGATTTGAGTACATTTTATTTGGCACCAGCTTTCAGTGTACAGGCAGCAGAATTATATGATAAACCTTGTTGATCTGTGTATTTAATATGTTGCCCTTATCTTAAACACCAATGATATTCCAAATCCATTTACAGTTATCACCCTGCAATTAACTGCAGATAATACATTGAATTTATTCAAAGTGTTTTGATTTAGTTTAAATGTTTGTTTATTATTCCACTGTTGGATTTGCTGCTGAACTTTAATGTTAGAGCAATGCAATTTGCCTACGATGGAGCCAGTCTATGAATGGGACTTCTGCTAGCCTCACCGGAAAAGCTGTGTGTGCCGCGTGGGGGCGCTATTGTATCATTATAGTCCCCTAATGGTTCAGATGGAAAAGGTAAATGAGGGATTAGAGACTGTTCTTTTGAGGGGTGGGCAAGGTTGAAGGTTAAAGGTTGGGAGCTTTGTCGTTTTAATTCATTATGAGAGAAAAACGAGTGTCTTTTTTTCGGACCCTTTTAACCTTTTTTCCTGCTGAAATCGTTGACTCAAAGGAGACTCAAGGAAATTAGGTTCTAGATAGGACGCATTTTCGCTTCACCGAAAGTGCAGGTACTTTGGCACTGGCCTCACTTCAGTATATAATCTTTCAAATGGCCTTATCTCCGACAGCCATGTTATACAAATTGGGCCAAATTAATGAAGCATTAATGAAGTTTGGTCAAGTTCCAAATGACGTAATAGGGCCAGGCTTTAGAACACATGCTCGATAAAACAATGATGGCTTTGTTTTTCTAATAAGTCCAGGAGCTGGTGCTAAATGGACTGAAGAGAGAAGCACAGTGCACACATGAGGTGAGGTGAAGAGTAGCAGAGACAGGTATGCCTGCTTGTCTCAGGCAGGCCATTTACCAGGAATCCTCTAAAGACATTTTACTCATAAAAATATGTAAAAATGTATATATGTATATGTTCTGGCATAGCCGACATTTTTAAAAAGATCTAAATTTTTTCCATGAATGTATGTATTCCCTATAGTAAATGACCTGATGCACAGCTGTTTGAGTAGCAGTGTTTTAGGCACACTACTTATTAGGCAAAAAATACAGTTGGCTAAATTACCTGTCCTTGAAAATGCTAATAAAACTTTAATAAAGCTTTCCTACATCTTTGCCATGTCTTTGTTGGCATCACACACACAAAAAATCACAAAATAAATCACAAAAATTTGATCAAAGCTTCCCTGAAAATAGGTTTAGATGATACACTGTTCACAGCTCTGAAACCTCAATACGGTCTGCATGACATATTGGCTGATATTATACAGTACATTTCTTGCTGATTTTTTTTTTTTTTTATCAGTATTCATAGTGCTACATGATAAGATTATTGTCCAGTAATGAATGGAGCTGTACCTTCCCTTCCTGAATTGATATATAGGCTAGTTCTTTTCCTATTTCATATAATGCCTTGTTTTGTAGGAATGTGTTGTTGAAAGCCATGCCTGCAGGACAACAGCTCCTCTACATCCATCATGATTCATGTCACAGTCGTTACAACATGGTGAGTCCTTTTCATTTCTTTATTTTTCTTGAAGGAGTTAAGAGGCCCGTGGTGCTTGAGGATTTTGTATTCCAAAGAAACTCCCATCTGTCATTCAGGATAAAAATCACTAATGTAGCCTACTAATGAGTCGTAAACAACAGCATTAAAGTAGCCCACACAAAACATCTTTTTATCATTTTGTTAATAATGGTTCCACTCCAGATCTTTAGGCAACACATCTATTCATGCTTGAATGAAACAGGAAAAAAACATATGAAGTTCCAGGTAATGGCAGTCTCTCTACTTAGTCCATTTTAATAATGATAATGCACTTTAATAGCACTAGTTAATAGTTAATAGTTTATTTATAACTCAAAAGGACAGCATTCCTATGTCTTGGGGTTTTATATCTATCAAAAGCAGTCCAGAAAGGAACAGTGGTAATAGAGGAAGGCAGGGTCAGGACTGTCTGGACTACTCTGACTTGTGATAAAATCTAAGCCCTTTAACTTTGTACAGGTTTGTGAGAACATCTTGAACTACTGTGAGTAATAATCTGCAACACAATGTATTATTTATGAGAAAACCACTAAGTTCCTTATTAAAGCCTACAGCAAAGAAAATGTATATTTACTTTATGTCTTCACAGGCTGATGTAAACAAAATTTCTGCTCATCAATATGTATGATTCAAGGAAATGTTTCTGTAAAGCCTGTGTATTTATAGACATGGGTATTTTTAAAACACAGTTAATCGATTACATTTGACTAAACCAAGGCCCTAAATAATATTAGGTTTGTATTACAATGAAATTAGTGCATACTCAAAAATCAATAATTCATGACATACATACATACATATATACATATAGACATACATACATATAGACATGCATACATACAGACAGACAGACAGACAGACAAGGGAGTCAACGGGGGGAAGTGGGGTCTGTTGGTCCCTAGGCCCTAGGGTCTTAGAGGTTCTGAGTTGGACCCTCCTATGAATTTAATTTAACCCCATGTGAGGCTTCTTCCCCTGAGCCCCAAAATTTCTGTTGACAGTTTTGCATACATACACTACAAACTTACATACATAACAATTGCTAGCTATACAGTTCAAATGTGCAAATGACAGGGTTAGATGAAGGATGGTTATTTGATGTGGCAACCTGTTAAAGGAACAGATCAAAGATAAAACAAGATGCAGTTTGAGCTCATCATTTTTACTCTCACAACCAATGACTCAAATGACTACATTTCCATTTCAGAAAGTGCATTACAAGATTCCCCATAAAAAACAAAATGCATGCTTTATGAATAAAATGACAATACCTTCACAGCTGTGTCATCAGCATTGTTGGCAACTGGGAGTAAACTCTGTTGTGTTTGTGGAGCTCTGGCCCCATATAAATGAGGCATCACAGCTGAGATGAAAGTCATCACAGTGTGAAATAGAAGCAGTTTGAAGATGATATTTCAATTTGACAAGTGGGTTGAATATAGCCTGCAGTGTTAGGACATAGGGAAGAGTGACAGGTAAATTGACTGTTGGATGATTAATTTTCCATGCATGGATTCAGATCTTCCTTAAGTGTCACGCAAAAGGAGTTTTTATGATGGACGCGGATAGCTTATAATTGCTTGATTTTCATGTGTGCTCAGCTTGTGGTGATGCAATAGATTAAAGACAAAGTAAATATTATGGAGATACTCATCAGGCTGATAAGTGAGGCTGAAAGGATGAAGCTGTTAATATTTAATAGAAATTACACAACTAAGAGCAATTTAAAAATCATAGAGCTTGAATGTTATATGATGTTTTACTCATGTCTGTAATGAGTTATTAGTCCTAAGAGATAATTTTAAAAAGAACTTCGTGGAAAATATAATCTACTTAAATTTAAAACAAAACATGCATAGTAGTGGCACAGCAGTGGGACCATTTCAAGATGAAGTAGGCTAACAAACAGGGATCATTAATATTTAGAAGGACTTCAGTGTCAAGTTTTAATTGTTGGGTGGACAGCATGTGATTTGAAATGTCTGCAGAACGGAGGAGTTTGACAATTGACAAAAATGGATAAATCAGAGCTATGCCTGATCGCCGGTGGTCAGTATTTATCAAAAGTGGTCCATGGGGGGAACAGTGGTGAATGAGAGGAGCAAGGTCAGGGCTCTGCTATACCATCCAACAGACAAGCTACGTGATGAGAGGGTAAAGCCAGCTGTTATAGGAAGGTGTTAGACAGTTGTATTTTTATTGTAACGACTTTTTCATCTTTGTTGTCAACCTCAGACACTTCACTGAAAAAGCAAAGCAAAAAGGTCTATATAATGCAAAATTCACATTTCTGAGCTTCTAGCTATGACAATAAATCATTATCAATCAAGTACCTGTTGCACTTCATTCACACATATTTAGGGCTCTTATAGCTAGTTGTTTTTCAAATACAATTGTGTCCATATACCATATATATATTTTTACTGTTCAATGTGCACAAATGTCTGTGGATTCCCTGGAAGTATCTGGTTCCCCCCACTCAGATTAGGAACCACTGCCCAAATCCTTGAAGCTTTGTTGAATTACTATTCATACATTTTTAACATTAACCATTAATTTCAAATAATGCCAGTGTTCATATTTTCAGCTATCAGACAGTATTCCATTTTAACCTCTAGTAAACATTGTTTTTAGCCTGTTACAAACTGATTTCACATTCACTGTGCCATGAAATGCTGGTCTAGCACCATCTGTAGCACCATATGTAATACAGTTTTGCATTTACTAAGCTTATGTGCAGGTATTGTGTGCATTGCAAACCCTTCCCATTAATACTATAGAAAATAACCATGGTGTCCAAAGTAGAAGTAATTTGCAAAAGGCCTTTAAAAGCTTGTTCATATGGACAGAATCTCTGTCAGTAAAATATATGTCTTTCCCTGTTCAAACATGATCCAGCAGGGCGTGTTGCCTGGTTGTCCAGATGGTACATTTTCACACCTTCACCTGTTCCCTGTTTAGCCCTGTGCCTCTGAGTGTGGGGGAAACCTGCAGACTTCTTCATAACATGGTCGCAGTCTGACGCTGTTGTCGTGTTCTCAAACATCTGTGGCCCTTTAATGACGACAAGGCTCTAATTGCATTCCCTATTCATTATCACATTCTGCACATGTGAGCCAGTCAGCTGTGTGCACTGTATTTTAGAGCTGTCAGAAGTCTGTCAGCACTGTGTCACACCACTGTTGGTGTGACACAGTACTTCAAATTTAGAAGTACAAGTTCAAAAATAATGTGAGAGGATGATCAGACCACATGTTAACGCATACGAATAATCACTTGTGTTTGATGGCAGTAATATAATGTTTACCAATGAAGGATTATTTATATATTTTATTAGCAAAATATAGGGGCAAATATAACTAATGTAACTTTATTATGTAATTATGTAAATATTGCATTACACAATA